TTTTTATTAGCATATATTTTATTCATATAATGTAAAGCATTTCACCATTGTTTTTTTTCCCGGCCAAAATTTGCGGTTTTTAACCTTTTTGTTGGCCGTGTACACATATTTATTCATTATTTTTTTATTATTATTTAAAATTTTAGATTATATTTCTAGTATTAATGCATGATTGAACTTGGAGGGTGAGATTAAAGAGCTAAATGAGAGAAAAGGCTTTGCTTCTTCTTCTTTTTTTTTCACTGCTCGTTTTTAATTTATTTAACATTTTAATCTTATATATTATATATAATATTATTTTTATTTAATTATTATGTCACCGGTTCGACTACCGGTCTAACCAATCCAACAGTTTGAACCATGACTTGTTAGCCTTTCCAGTTCTATGTTCGGCCCGGCTTTTAAAACATTGATTCCAAGTCCCAACACAAAATAAATTATAAATACCCCTTATTTTCGGTTCCTAAAAAATCTCATTAATTTTTCATTGAGGACTTTTTAGAAAAACTTCACTAATTACAAGGCATTATGTTTTTAAATATAGGGAAAATAGAAAAATACCATATGATTTTGATCGAATGAATAATGAAGTACTCCCTGGATTCCTAATATAGGAGAGGATTGTGAATTGAATTTAATCATAAATATAAAATTTTAACTTACTTTATCTTCATTTACCATTTTTTAAATTAATTTATACCTCATTGTAAATTAACATACTTTTTTAATCTTATTTATAAGTAACTTCCGACATATTTCACACAAACAAAAAAAAACCTTTAATTTTGTTAACTTTCGTTTAAAATTTAACACCTTTTCAACTTTATCCCTATTTAATATATATTATACCTCATGTAAACAAAGTCAACATAATAATAAATGAGGAGTAAAATTGTAAATTCATACAAAAAATTTCTCTTAATGCTCTATAAATAGGACCAAAAAATATCTTTTCTTTCTGTCTTATAAATAGAACCAGAAAAGTATAATTTAATGTTAGATACAAGGTATTTTAAGATTATCATCTCATAATTTTTACAATGGATTAATTTATCCAGCTTCCTTCATTGTTATTGTTTATCTAACTTCTTAAGTATATCAAAATTAATTAAGTAACTCTTATATTAAATGTCAAAGCTAGTAGTATTAATTATAGCCAAACGGAATTTTAAAAAAAAAACTGAGATTTTTTGTCATCCTTTATCCAGCAAAGGGAGCTCATGTACTTATCACATTTACAAAAAGTCAAACACGCAACTTCATGTTTGAATAAAAGTTTAGAAAGATGATAAGTATCTGTTGAATAAATGACTCTCATTTGTGCTATGATTTATATGTAGAGACAAAAGGAAAGTGAAGATTAGGACTAATAACGAAAAATGTATGAACTATAGTTATCCGGCCCATAGAATCATTCAGCATAAGTTAAAATTTCAAAGTATCTTTGAGGTTAACATTAAACCAAATTTACATACCAAAGACAATTAGCTTAGGCGATTTGGCATCCAGTAAAGTTTTGGATTTAATTTAAACCTTAAATAGAAAAAGCTATGGTAGGAACTAGTAGGAAGAGTTTTGCACTGTGATGTCCCATGCAACTTAATTAAAAATAAAATCAGATAGTAACATTTTGTAGATTTGAAACAGAATGTCTGTCAAGTCAACGTTGTTCCTTGAGCCGATCATCTCGTGCTTCATTCAAAGGTCGACAAGGCGACTCTCAGAAACCTTGAAATGGTCAGCGTTGAAACTTGAAGCAGAACGAGCTATTAATTGATTAATTAATTACTCAAGAAAAAAATATAACTTCAAATATTTTAACTTTCTCAATTACTTCGTCCGGTTATTATTCTAAGTTTCAAATAACTAATCTACTGATAACGAATAATTAGTTAAAATTAGTTAAAAGTACTCCTTGTGGTTCAAATTATAAGCTAAACTTTGTTAGAGGGGTTTGGCTTTTTTTATAAGATAACATTCACTTTTGTCTAAGTATTTAATGAGTTTTTTGTAATTGTACCTCACATATATTCTCTTTCTTCTTTGATTTATTTATTGTATCTTTTATTTATTCTCTTAGTTAATAAGGGCATACTTGGAAAGAAAAAATATATGCATTGCTTATTTATTGTTTTAAACCGATTTTAACTAATTTCTTTAGCTTATATTTTGAACCAGAGGGAGTAATAAATAGGTTAGAAATATATTTTTGTTATCAAATATGCCCATATAATAAAAGAAACAGACTAAAAGAGAATGTGTGAGAAAATGTGATAATAGAGGTTATAACGAAGAAGCGAGAATAAATAATTAAGGATAGTTAAAAAAATACATTAAATATTAGGACAAACTCAAATTTAAGCTCATAAGTTCCCAAATTTGAAGCTTATAAATAAGATTGGAGGGAGTATTAATTTAGTCACATCTCAATCTTTATATTACTCCGTCTCTTATTATAAGATTTAATTTTTTGAATGGGTCTGTCTCTTTTTATAAGATCCTCTTTGAGTTTGTCTGAACATTTAATGTATTATTACCTATTTTACCTCTAATTTAATATATCTAATACATTCTCTTTCTTCATTTATCTCACTATCACCCTCTCACATTTATCTATTTATATATAGAGGTATATTTGAAAAAAATTGCATTTGCTACATATTAATTGCTTTTAAGTAATTTTAATTGTTTTCTTAAACCAAGTAATTTAATTGAAAGGGTCTTACAATAAGGGACGGAGGGAGAAGTAAGTTGTTTCTGCTCGGAAATCAGAACAATTCAATTTTTATAACTTTGTAAATTACTATAACTCAGTCTTTATGATTTTTTTAATTTAATAAACTATAAGTAATGAGTTGTATTAAGTCAAAATTTAGATATTAAATTGATGATTGAAAAACAAATAAGGATTACAAATTTTAGTATCCCATTAATTAATAATAATAACAACTTTGTTAAATGTTGAACACTTCAAAATTAGCCTGTCTTTGTTTCAAATGCACACAAAGCTTGCTTCAAGGTTTGGCATGTATTGTATATTTAGCATAGGTTATGAAATGAAACAATTTTGGAGGCCACCTCTTCGCACGTTATGGCAGCTGGATCTAATCATAAGTAAGCATAATTTGTGCCGTTGATTAGTCATACTAATTTAAATTATGTATTTAGTCAACTAATGGCTTAGATTTAAAAAATAAAGAAAATGCTTTATTTGAATATTTTGTTGTGATTAACTTCATTACAAAGAAAACAAAAAAAAAGTCCGGATTATTCCTCTCTCCCAGTGGTGCTAGCAAGTAGTAACCACGTTGTAATATTTATATAATATATCAACAAACTATTTAAATAAAAAAGAACATTGATACACAAATAAATGGTACATTATATTCATATATGACAAACTATTGTTTTTTAAAAACTAAAAAGGCATCATTTCAAACTCAATAATAAAAAAATAAAAATAAAATTTAGCTCACAATGATCCATTCAAAACCCTTTCATGAGAATGGGGCGCATGCATGATCAAACTGGGTTAGATTTTAATACATGCTTGAGAATAGAAACTAGACGTGGGATTTAGTTTTAGTATTCATCATCTTTGGTTAAGTAAAGTAGTGGGATCTCAAATAACCCCGTTTAAATCTAAATAAGTGATTATAAAGCATATTTATCTTGTTTGGGTAATTTTTATAAAATCCCGATAATTGTGATTTTATCCTTCTACCGCACTGTTAAGATAACCAACAAGGAGTAATTTATGCGTTTGAAAAATCTTGATTAATCTTCAGCAACAAAATTTTCTCCAATCTACCCTTCTACACTCTTTCAAAAATCTCTCCTCAAATATTATCTCCGCATATTTTGCCTACAATTTTTCAACCTAAACCACTTTAAATTTTTTCTTAAGAGGCCGTTGTCTCATCTTCCAAGACTAAAATTTTATTTTTACTTCAAATCTTACTAAAATTGCTAATCAATTTTTTTTTAATTTTCATTCATCTCTTATTTATATATGGCCTTTTATTTAATATTTGTACTACACATAAATTTTGTAAGATCTTTTAAATAATAATAATTTTAAAATAAAAATAATATTTAAATATTCATATCATTTATTAAATTATATTTAATAAAAATTTATTATTAAATATAATAATTATGAAAATGAAAACAACTTTATTAACTTTATGTCCTTTTTAGTAATTATACATCCATAAGTGATTTTAATTAATAAATGAAAAAAAAATCACAATTCTTAAAATCACTTATAAAAAAAATATCCAAACAGAAATCACGATTAACCAGTGTCACTTATAAAATTCACGATTATCTAAAATCATAGTTGTTTACCGCTAATCCAAGTGGGTACTAAAATCTTTGATTAATTTGCATGATACGTGGATTTAATTTTTTTTCATATTCTTTAAAAAGAATTATTTTAATTTATATAAAATTTAAAATAAAAATAATCTCTTAAATGTTATTTTTTCAAAAGATAATTTTTTTTTCATTTAAAAATAATTAGTTGAGAATTTCAAATCTATAACATTCAAATTATATTTAAATCATGGGGATGTAATTACATTGATGAATCATGATGCTGATGACTGAAATAAGCACAAATGGGGCCCACCTGTTTGGTTACCTGCGGGAGAAGTCAAAAGAGCAAAACCCTTCTTTAAATTTTAAGTCAAAACGAGCAACAAAGCTTTTGTATAAATAGAAGCATCGCTGGGCACAATACAAGCATGCATGCCAAGCAACAACATCAACAATGGCTATCCACAACGTCCTTCTCCTCCTCTCCTCTCTCCTTCTCACAACCCTAACTCCATCTCTGTCATCATCCCCGACCTTCATCAGCATCGACTGTGGCTCAAACTCTTCAATAGCCGACGGCGACATCTTCCAATGGGACGCCGATGACTCTTACGCTCAAAACGGAGACTCCCACGTAGTTCAATACACCAGGAGTCCCTCTTTACATGAGCGAAACCGCCATGTCCACTCTCAGGACTTTCCCCACCCTCAGGAAGAACTGCTACACCGTCAAAGTCGGTAAGGGACAGAAGGTTCTGATTCGAGCAAGCTTCTTCTATGGAAACTACGACGGCAAAGACTCTCCTCCCACCTTTCAGCTTCATTTTGATGGCAATTTCTGGGCCACTGTCAACACTTCGAGCCTGAGAGGTGTGTATCATGAGGCCATTTATGTTACCAAGAAGAACACGACCAGTGTTTGTGTTGCTCAGACATTTAAGGATCAGATTCCTTTCATTTCTGGGTTGGAGATTCGGAGCTTAGAGATGAGCATGTACAGTCATGTTGATTCTGGGCGTGCTCTTTTCCTGTCCAACCGAGCCAACGCTGGTGCAAATTTCAGCACTAGGTATATTCTTATGATCTCTCTTTATTGTCATCTTCATATTATATACTCAGGTCAGGTCCTTAACGTGAGAGCCTACTTAACTAATTTGGAATGTCTTATATTCTTATGATCTCTTCAGCTATTTAACGTAAGTTATTTTCACAGAACTTGTGGAATGTCCATGCAATTTACTGTGTTATTTATTTGTAAGCTAACGAATGATGATTGAACGAAAACTGACAGGTACCCAGATGATGCTTATGATCGGATTTGGAGAGCAGAAGGTGGTTTTGTGTTAGTGGACAATGTGGTAAACAAAGCTCCATTTATTGACGCCAGCAAAGCAGAAGATCAACCACCTCTTTCTGTTCTTCGAACTGCAACCACAACCACAGGAACTTTATGGGGCATTGTTCTTAACACGGACCTTCCTTCCACAAGCCAACCTATCTATATCACAGCCTACTTCTCTGAAGTCACTCGCCTTCGTTCCAACGAAACAAGATCCATTCAAGTTGAGATCAACCAAGTTCCTTATTCACAACCTTTCGTCCCTCCTTTTGGAGCTGTATCGGAGCTTCGCATCACAAACAGAACTGCAAATTCAAACACAAGTGTGGCTGTTTTCGCAGATAGAAGTTCCAATCTTCCTCCTTTGCTTAATGCCTATGAAGTCTACACTGTTAGTGGTGCACTTACTGATGGAACCGACAATGACGATGGTTTGTCTTTTATTTACTGTACACTGTTTAAGGATTCCGTTTTTTTGGCCTGTCATCTGTCATTCTGAGATTGTTTGGTTCTGTTCTTGGTAATGCAGTGGAAGGATTAGCAGCACTGCAGAGAAATTTTGGTATGCTTCAGAAATGGAGTGGTGATCCTTGTCTTCCATCTTCATTTTCATGGGAATGGCTTGAATGCAACTCCGATGCCTCCCCACGTGTCACCACATTGTAATCCTCATGCTTTGTCTTTCTGTCTTCTTCTTTTTTCTTTTTCTTTTTCTTTTTCCTTTTTGGTAAAATAAATTGGTGAGACGCACTGATCACATAGACGGCTTTCATTTCTACAACTTTAACAGATATATGAATATTGATCAGAAAATTTTTTTTGGTAGCAATATATATATATATAATTGCTGAGTGATCAAATGGTGTTGGCTTTTTGTATGTGGCCTGACACAGGAATCTTGGAGGCTATGGCTTATCAGGACCACTGCCGGACTTCAGTTCCATGACTGACCTGGAGACAATGTAAGTTGCAACGAAACACTAAAACATCTTATGATTAATGTGGCCTCTCTGTGTACTGATGTTTTGAGGTTGTCTCTAAAACTGGCAGCGATTTGCATAACAACAGCTTGTCGGGACCAATTCCCAGCTTTCTTGGTTCATTTCCAAAACTGAAATTGCTGTGAGTGCCAATACCACAACCAAATAATTAATGCAGTACTTCCAACTTGAAACAAGCTTCATATTACTTGTTCATGTTTCACCAGGAATTTAGCAGATAATAGATTCAGTGGAACCATACCCAAATCGCTGTCTCAAAATAAAAACTTGAAACTAATGTGAGTTTATCTGTACCATAGTCTCTTTCTTGCACAAATTTTCTGGTGCTTTTCTCTCCATTTTTCTGGATCGTCATTTTTGCTTTGCATGTTTGCTGTTAATTTAATATGACCCTTCCATGTATCAGTCTGACAGGTAATTGCTTATCTGGCATGTCATGTCCACCATTACCACCTTCAACCCCTTCCCATGAATCGCCGTCGACACCACCACCTTCTCATGAAACGCCGTCGGCACTGCCTCCTTCAACCCAACCTTCTCATGAAAAGCCGTTGACACCACCACCTTCAACCCCTTCTCATGAAACGTCGTTAACACCGCCGCCTTCAACCCCTTCTCATGCAACGCGGTCGGCACCGCCGTCTTCTCATGAAACACAGTGGGCACTGCCGCCCTCAACCCCTTCTCATGAATCGCCGTTGACACCACCACCTTCACACGAAACGCCGTGGGCACTGCCGCCTTCAACCCCTTCTCATGAATCGCCATTGACACCACCACCTTCACATGAAACGCCGTGGGCACTGCCGCCTTCAACCCCTGCTCATGAATCGCCGTCGACACCACCACCTTCAACCCGTTCTCGTGAAATGCCGTTCGCAGGAATGCCTCCATATGGGGCAGCTGAAGGACCAGTTGCTGGTTCAGGTGTTCAACCAGGTGGCTCAGAGAGCAGGAAGATGACATTGAAATCCACAGCCATACTCTCTTTGTCATTGCTTTTGTTGTTTCTGCATCTGAGCAACTACTAGGAAATTCGTCTGCAGCATTTGAATGAATCGAAGCAACGGATTTTTCCACTTCTCTAATGTTTTTTTTTTTAATGTAAAGCAAGTGACATTTTGATATTTTATGAGAAGTGAGAGAAATTCAAGGGGCATACGCCCCAAATCCCAAGGGCTTCATTTTGAGTTCAGATGGAGATATCAATAATGACCGGATATATTAAGGGAGCTTGTCTTGATTCACTTTGTTTTTATGGATCCTATCCCACATCTCTGTGAAAAGAATGATATTTAAAATCATCAGTTTTCTAATATCAATAAAAAAATCAAATGCAAATAACATTTTCAAAAATATTCAACTAACTGAACCTAATATAAAGTTATACTCGAAATTTTGAATAGTATTTAAAATGCTCTATTTTTTTATCACATACGAATATGTTGGGCAATAGACATCATCTTAAAAGGGGGGGGGGGAAAACTTACATACTTATAAGTTTATATACCTAATGTACTTGTTTCCATTCAAATTAAAGACATTGGCATTATTCTATCCATGATTTACCCTCTAACTAACTGTTGTTAATAATATTTTAATTTTTTGAAAACTTTAAAAATCCACTTGTACAAATTTGATTAAAAATAAATCTACTTATACATAAGTCTTCTCCTATATTAAAATTCATAGGTATATTCATGAAAAGTCATAAATACCTAAAATCTTTACAAATTATTTACACTTAATAACCATATTATAAGTCTTATTTGAGCCTCTTTGTGGCTAGATGACATGTTTAACCTGCATTCCAATCAATGGGGATTCTTCCCAAATCTGTCGGGGGGGGAAAAAAAAATTGTCCCAAAAGGTTGCTATTATGGTTATTTTTCCTTTATAATTAGGCTAATTGTATGCTTAGTAAGGTAAGGTGTTAAAATACCAAGTCCCGACAAATAAACGCTCCTTATTTTCTCGTGACGTAATAAGTTCTTTTATACATTAAGCAATCAGCTTAATTCACGTTTGAATTAAGTGTTTAAAATTCTTTTCATCATTCTAAATACGAGGGTTACTTATTAAGAAATTTATTTTAATCCTAGATATAATATATTAATATTCTTTATCTCCAACAATTTATTTTTTTTAAAAAAAATTACTCCCATTTATCATTGTACACATCTATAAACATTTTTAATAAATAATTAAATTAACAAATTTTGATAATATATTCTTTTTTCGGGTCCTAAATATAAATTATAATATTAAAAAAAGACTATCAACATCTATATTATGTGAAAATTAGTTTTTTAATTTTATTTTTACCTTTTTATTTAGTGTCATAATACTGCAGAGTTACTTGAAAATTTAATTTGTTTGTAAGCATAAGACCCAATTTAATTTATTTAATGTCATAATACTACATAATTAGGACTGGAGGTAGTATTTATTACAAATAACTAATTTAACTAATTTCTCTAGTATACTCAAATTAGTAACTAGCTCTTATCAAATGTAGTATAAGATAGTATTTTTAATTGAGAACATTTTAGAGAAAAAAATCCTTAATTACTCCTTAAAAAACCACAAGAAATAAATAGAGGAAAAACAGAAAAATTCCTTATAGTTTTGAGCGAGCGAAGCACTCCCTGATGCCTGATATAGGAACCAGATGATGGTTAAATTTGGTGACAAATATAGAATTTTAATTTATTTTATCTCACATATTTATTATTTTCTCACAAAATAATTTATTTAATCTATAAATTGATATATAATCTGATATTATATTAGGGTAGTTTAAATATTTTAATCCGTATAATTTCATTTTGCTAGAAAAATTATTAATTTAGAATTGAAACATGTTAATCATAAAATGGAACGTGTTAACTTTCAAGATTGTATTTTGATAGAATTTTATTTAAAGACTTATTACAAGTGTCTCATGGAAACAAAAAGTTGTTAATTTAGAATTAAATGTGTTTTAGCTATGAAATGAAATGTGTTAATTTTCAAGGTTATATTGTGATAAAGTTTTATTCAAAGATTTATTGTAAGTGTGTTTTAGAGATAAAAAAGTTGTAAATTTAGAATTGAAATATTAACTATAAAATAAAACATGTTAATTGTCAAAGTTTTATTGTGATCAAATTTACACAAAAGACTTACATAAGTATGCTATAAGGACAAAAAATTATTAATTTAGAATTAAAATGTGTTAATTGTGAAATAAAATATGATAATTTAAAAAAAAATTTCTTTTGGTTTCTAATGATAAGGACATCGGAGTCATTTCATAAAAAATTAAATTTTTTTTGGGGTATGAACTAATAAGATATTTTTAATAAATTTAATAATCTAAATAAAAATTTAAGTTATTTAAGTGTCTTTGTTTTGCCAAGAGTTTTGCCCCGTGTTGTCTCATGCAACTTAATTAAAAATAAAATCAGATGTTTTTTTTTTTTTTAAAAGAAACATTTTATAGATTTGAAACAGAATGTCTGCAAAGTCAACGATAGTTCCGCAATACTTAATTCAAAGGTCGACGTGACGACTTTCAGAAACCACAAAATGTCAACGTTGAAACTTGATGCGGATCCGGCTGTTCTTTTCTCGCATCATCCTTTTTTAATCGATTAATTAATTAAGAAAAAACATAACTTTTGATATTTTAACTTTTCTTAATTATTATTGATTTAGCTATAAATAAATGATTATAGTTTTTTTTTTACTCAAAACAATTCAATTCTTGTAATTTTCTAACAAGATACTACTTGTTTGATTTTTATTTTGATTTTAAATATAAGACTCAGATTTACTTTGTTTATCATTTTTTTTTAAAGATAGTCCTTCTAATAATGATAATTTTAGCCAATAAACTTGATTAGCAAGGATATTTTAGAAAAGATAACACATATTTATTACAAATAATTAACTCAACTTTTTTCTTTAATCTACTCAAATTAGCTAACTAGGTCTTATATTTAGGACTAGAGGTAGTATAATTCAGTACTTATAATTATTTAATTTAATAAACTATAAAGATTGAGTTGTATTGCCAACGTTTAGAGAATAAATCAATAATTAAGAGAAAGATTAACGATTGAAAGTTGTATTATCCTATTAATTACTAATACTACTTCCGGTTTTAATTATATAACCTTATTTGTAATTTACAAACAAGGCATATTTAGGATCGGAGGTAGTAATAACTTTATTTGTTAATGTTGAACATTTAAAAATTAGTCCGTCCCTGTTTCAAATTCAACACAAAGCTTGCTTCAAGCTTTGGCATATATAGTATAGATAATCTAGTGTAGTTTATGATGAAAATGAAACAATTTTGAAGGCACCTCTTCGCACGTTATGGCAGCTGGATTTAATCCTAGTAAGCACAATTAGTGCCGTTGATTAGTCATAATAATTTAAACCATGCACAGTCAACTACTGGATTGATCCTTTTTTCCAAAAAAAAAAAAAAAGAAATGCTTTATTTGAAAATTTTGTTGTGATTAACTTTTTTATTACAAAGAAAACAAGAGAAGAAAATGGATTCATTATTCGCCTCTCCCGGCGGTGCATTCTTTAATATACTTATCAGAATTTAAATTTGTGTTCTTCTCTAAGATTACTTACAATCTTAACTAATAATTTATTGGTAAAAGGGTTGGATTTTAATACACGTTTGAGAAAATAGAAAGGAAGATCACTCGATAATGGGACCCAACTATTAAGTTAGCTGCGGTGAAGTCAAAACGAGCAAAAGCTTAGCTTGTATAAATAGAAGCATCGTCGTGCACAAGCATGCGTGCCAAGCAACAACATCAACAATGGCTATCCACAACGTCTTTCTTCTCCTTCTCTCTCTCCTTCTCACAACCCTAACTCCTTCTCTGTCATCATCCCCCACCTTCATCAGCATTGACTGTGGCTCAAACTCTTCTCTCACCGACGGCGACATCTTCCCATGGGACTCCGATGACTCTTACGTTCAAAACGGAGACTCCCACGTCGTTGAATACACCAGCACAGTCCCTCTTTACATGAGCGAAACCGCCATGTCCACTCTCCGAGCTTTCCCTACCCTCAGGAAGAACTGCTACACCGTCAACGTCAGTAAGGGACAGAAGCTTCTGGTTCGAGCAAGCTTCTTCTATGGAAACTACGACGGCAAAGATTCTCCTCCCACCTTTGACCTTCACTTTGATGGCAATTTCTGGGCCACTGTCAACAGTTCGAGCCTGAGAGGTGTGTATCATGAGGCCATTTATGTTACCAAGAAGAACACGACCAGCGTTTGTGTTGCTCAGATCTTTAAGGATCAGATTCCTTTCATTTCTGGGTTGGAGATTCGAAGCTTAGAGATGAGCATGTACAGTCATGTTGATTCTGGGCGTGCTCTCTTCCTGTCTAACAGAGCCAACGCTGGTGCAAATTTCAGCACTAGGTATATTCTTATGATCTCTCTTTACTACCATTATAGTATATATTCCTCTTGTACTTGATATAAGAATTAATTATTAAGTTAATTTTGATCCTAAATATAAGATCTATTTTTCTTATTTATTAATTTTTTTTCTAAATTAACCCTATGGATATTCTCTCAACTATAATCAAGTGAGTGAGAGAAGAAGGACATTAAGAAAGATGATTATGATGTTTTAGAAAATACTACCTCCGGTCCTAATTATAAGAGCCAGTTGACTAATTTGAAAAGATTAAGAAAGTAAGTTGAGTTAATTATTTATCATAAATAGGTGTTATCTTTCCTAAAATATCCTTGCTAATTAAGTGTATTGACTAGAACTATCATTGTTAGAAGGGCTACTTTGGAAACAAATGTATAAATACGAGAGACAAAGTGGATTGGGGTCTTATATTTAGGACTAAAATAAAAGTCAAACAGGATCTTATATTAAGGACCGGAGGTAGTACATGTTATATTTCTTATAATTAACTAACTTACCTAACTTCTTTAATCTAATCAAATTAGTTAAATAAGTCTTATATTAAGGATTGGAAGAGTATAATTTTTGTGTTGATTCAAGAGGGAGGAATGTAAGTAATATTCGCAGAACTTGTGGAATGTCCATGTAATTTACTTTATTATTTATTTGTAAGTTAACGAATGATGATTGAACGAAAACCGATCATAGGTATCCAGATGATGCTTACGATCGGATCTGGAGAGCAGAAGGTGGGTTTGTGTTAGTGGAAAATTTGGTAAACGAAGCTCCATCCATTGACGCGAGCAAAGCAGAAGATCAACCACCTCTTTCTGTTCTTCGAACTGCAACTACAACTACAGGAACTTTATGGGGCATTGTTCTTAACACAGACCTTCCTTCCACAAGCCAACCTATCTATATCACAGCCTACTTCTCTGAAGTCACTCGCCTTCGTTCCAACGAAACGAGATCCATTCAAGTTGAGATCAACCAAGTTCCTTATTCACAACCTTTAGTCCCTCCTTTTGGAGCTGTATCGGAGCTGCGCATCACAAACAGGACTGCGAACTCAAACACAAGTGTGACTGTTTTTGCAGATAGAAGTTCCAATCTTCCTCCTCTGCTTAATGCCTATGAAGTCTACACTGTTAGTGGTGTACTTACTGATGGAACCGACAGTGACGATGGTTTGGCTTTTATTTACTTTAAACTGTTTAAGGATTATTTTTTTTCTTTTTCTTTTTTTTTTCCCGCTGTCATCTGTGATTCTGAGATGGTTTGGTTCTGTTTCTGGCAAATGTAGTGGAAGGATTAGCTGTATTACAGAAGAATCTGGATGTGCTTCAGAAATGGAGTGGTGACCCTTGCCTTCCTTCTTCATTTTCCTGGGAGTGGCTGGAATGCAACTCTGATGCCTCCCCACGTGTCACCACATTGTAAACCTCGTACTTTGACTTTTTTTTTTTTTGGGAAAATATATTGGTGAGACGCACTGTTCACACAGACGGCTTTCTTTTCTAGATATATGAATATCGATCAGAAAATTTTTTTTGGTGGCAATATATCTATCGATCGAATGGTGTTGCCTTTTGTATTTGGCGTGAAACAGGAATCTTGGAGGCTTTGGCTTATCAGGACCACTGCCGGACTTTAGTTCCATGACTGACCTGGAGACAATGTAAGTTGCAATGGAACACTAAAACATCTTATTTTTAATGTGGCCTGTCTGTCTCCTGAAGTTTTGGTTGTTTGTAAAAATGGCAGTGATTTGCATAATAACAGTTTGTCTGGACCAATTCCCAGCTTTCTTGGTTCATTGCCGAAACTGAAATTGCTGTGAGTACCAATACCACAAGCAAATAATGCAGTACTTCCAACTTGAAATGAGCTTGACATTACTTGTTTATGTTTCACCAGGAATTTAGCAGATAATAGATTCAGTGGAACCGTACCCAAATCGCTGTCTCAAAATAAAAACTTAAAACTAATGTGAGTTTATCTGTACCATGGGCTCTTTGCACAACTTTATTTTCTGGTGCTTTTCTCTTTACCTTGTTCGGTATGTTAGCTGTTAATTTAACATGACTCTTTCATCTATCAGTGTGACAGGTAATTGCCTATCTGGCATGTCATGTCCGCCGCCGCCGCCACCCCCTTCAACCCCTTCTCATGAAACCCCGTCGACTGGAATGCCGCCATATGTGGCGGCTGAAGGACCAGTTGCTGGTTCAGGTGTTCAATCAGGTGGCACACAGAGCAGGAAGATGACATTGACATCCACAACCACACTTACTCTGTCATTGCTTTTGTTGTTTCTGCAGCTAAAGAACTTCTAGGAAATTCCTCTGCAGCATGTAAAAGAATTAAAGCAATGGCTTCATCTTTAGTTCAGATGGAGATGCTAATCAGTAATCACTAGTTAAAAGGGAGTTTGTTACGTTGTTGATTTATTTTGCCGTTGTTTCTGATCGATCATAGGTATCTGTGAGATTAATGAGTATCTCGTTGAAGAATGCAAATCCTGCTGTTCATCGGCTGTGCCTTTTGTGAATGTGTCCTTATTACGTTTGGGCCTTGTTATGCCATGAGTTTGATATCGATAAACAAGTTAATTGACTGAATATTAACAAACTCGAAACGTATTGAACCTCCTTTACGGTGCTCCATTGACTGTATTTAGTTTGTTTTAAATCTTTAGAGCAATCTATGAAATAGTTTTGCAAGACATAAGGGTAGATGTTGCAATAACATAAAACACCGGATACTTGAGACTTTTTTTTTTAATATTATTAAAAAAAACACTACTAAAACTATACCTTACAGGGTAGATGGGACCTCATGACGGAAAAAATAATGTACTAAATTGCTAGTTTGCATGTTAGAATCTGCTTTCCTATACAAGGCCTGCTTCTCCAACTAGCTCTACTCCTACCCAACCCAGTCAATGAGAGCAAAAAAAAAAAATGGGGGGGGGGGGATATGATTTCAAATTTTCAACCACAATCAGATCAAATAATTCTCCACTCAAAGAAGTCCCCTCAAATTTTGCTTTGCCGGACAGCTATCTTTTAGTTACAATGTTTAACATACTATGAGCATAACATGTTATCTTGTGATTACTTGAACTATAAAATTGTACAAAACTTTGGCGGAGGCCGGCACAATTTGACGCACTTTATTAACAAGGAACACGAGAACCACATTCTGGTAACACGAGCAATTGTCATGAATCTTGCAAAAGGATTTCATATATGTCTGTTCTCAGATTCAGTTCCTTGTCTCGCATAACTTCCTGGAGATCTGATAACTCTTTTGCAGTAAGTACAGGGTTCACTTTGAGAAAGCCATCCAACCATAGCTTTTTAGACCTGGCATCAGAAAAGGTCATTAATTAGTAATAACTAAGAACGCACTATATCAAAAGTCAATCAGCAAATGCTAGGGAGGTTTGAGAGTCAGAATTATATTCAGTTAGTTGTATTATTTAGTTTTCTTTTTGTTGGTTATTCATGCCATATTTGGTAGACAAGCTCTCACCACGGGCAGGCATGGATAGCTCGAAAGAAAACACGTCGAGCTGCAAAAGGATCGCTTGCAACATTCATCTCATACTCAATGTAGCAACGCCAGAGTACAGCTGAGCTGCAAAGCACATCATTACCCAGTGCCCTTTCAAACAACCTACGGATTCTGTGTTGTGAGCCACCTCTACACATCTCAAATGACAATGCAAAAAGCCATAGAATAATTGATGGTTTCCTGAAAAGTGCAGTTAAAAAAGAAATGAATGGTTATTTAAGTATGATTCACAGTTCTAACAAACAAAGTAGATACCATTCACATTTCTGGCTTATCAAATATAAATATTATTCACGTAAACTTATCCCTCTCCAAATAGAACATTCAAGCTGACCTTTAAAAAAAATAAAAGCAGAACACTAGAACTAAGCGTAAATACAGAGAAGCTTTAGCTTAAAAAAAAGTAAGGAAAAATAAACTTAACAAAAAGAAATCAAATAAAATCACTAAAAACTGCTTAATTAAAATAGGCTAACTTCAAGGAAAGATAACGTGCGAAGAACAAAGATCTTACTTCTTAGATAAGTCATCTAGCATCCACCGCAATTTATTAGAAGTTGTGTGAAAATGGCCAACCTCCACTACACCTTTAAGAAGTTCCGGACTGAAAGGATATATCTGAAGGCCCTGAGAAATGGACTCCCAAACTTTGGTCAGATCTGCTAGACTCTGATGCCTTTGAAGCATCTTTATGTAATAATTTAACAAATATTCAAGTTGATGACTATGGCTTCTCCTTTCTGCAAGTCACGTAATAAGCAACGAATTAGCATGAATCAGCATCAATTCTTGCTATGCTATAAATATCATTTACTAGCTCAACAGGAACGATTGAATAGTCATATGATAAACCGCCCCACATTATATGCCAAAGTTGAATGTTTGTATTGTAACACTCAGCGACTGCCTGGATTCTTACCTAATTGTATATTACTCCCTCCAGTTCAAACTATAAGCTAAACTTTATCCATTTACATTTATTAAGAAACTAGTTAAAATCAGTTTAAAACAATAAATATGTAAGGCATATAGTTTTTTTTTTTTTCAAATATACCTTTATTAATGAAGAAAATAAGTTAAAAAAAATGCAATAAATAAATCAAAAAAGAAAGAATATCTGGGGGTAAAATTGGAAAAAACTCATTAAATGATTAGATAAAAGTGAATGTTATCTTATAAAAAAAACCAAGCCTCTCCAACAAAGTTTAACTTATATTTTGAACCGGAGGGAGTATTAACTATAATAATAATGATCATCAAAGATTTACACTGTCTATTCTGTAAATCAAATATTTTAATCCAATTTTTTTAACTGTTTGTCCAAATGCTAGAGGATGAGATGCACCAGGAAAAAGAATAGAGATTGATGAAATTCGTAAAACATTAGGAGAAGCAGACATGCATCACTGCATCAGAACAAATCAAGTGCCAACCAAATTAATGAAAAAGTGCAAATAAATGTTTCCCTCTTGATATTTTACACAGGACAGAAAATGAACCATGAAGGCATAAATTTTCAAAGTCAATCTCGTCATAACAAGTCAAAAGGGAGATGTCTAGTTAATAGAGGTAACAAAGAGAACTCTCTATGGGACAGATTTGGGGAGGAAAATATCAGAAATTTCCAACAAACAATGTATATTCTGCTATCTAATTTCTGAAAAAAATAAAAAACCAAGTTCTGAAGAACCATAACCTGGAAGAACCATTGCAAAAGCCTGATCAAAAACTTCAACTACTGCATCCCACCCAGAGGTAAGCTCCTCAAGCAATGCCGCCGAACAAATCAGAGCTACAGATTGGTCATTTATTACACCACGAACCCAAGATGACCGTACGGTTCTAGTTTTTTCTTTAAACCCTTGGCGGGCTCTGAGCAGTTGTAAACTTGATGGTTGACTTTTATATGGGCTATATTTTGTACCACTCCCTAAGCATGATAATATATGCATTGCACGATGTGAAGATTCACAATCATTAGCATTAGCAAGTTCTGCCTCCGCATACCAGAAGTATAGAAGAGGAGCACTTGATTGCAGTTCCTACTCCATGCAGTTAACCAAAGCAATATCAAAAAATTATGGTAAGTCAAGGAGTAAATACTGATGTTAAGGAGCTAAGTGAGATTCAAAGAATTATAAGATAATATTAAGGAGTTTCAAAAACAACACCTAGACATAGCAAACGTTTTCTTCATTAGCTCAGGGACGGAGACCAACACACGTACATGGCAAGCAAGGATTAAATATTAGTTCCATACAACAATCTATGTGGCCAGACAAAAACAAGATTAGGGCTAATTTCCTTTTGCAAAAAATGCATTATATATGCAGAAATGATATTGACATTAGGGGTAAATTTTGATACCGTTCTATAGAGGAATTATACCTTCATTAAAACAGCCAATTTTGAAAATGTTTACTTCAATTATTTTTTTAATTAGGCATTGATATCATCTAGTGTATGAAAAGTATATCCTATGCTAGTTCTAAAAAATTTCAGAAGTGCACAATAGTTTTAGGTTAATTTGAAATATGAAATTATAGAAGCAAAATATATGTGATGGGAAAACTATTAATCATACAGTAAATCATGCCAAAAAAAACTATCCAACAAAATATCATCATTTTGTTTTAAACCAGCATATATGGATTCACACTCTTTCACACACAAGCTATGTGTTGGAGCTAGAAATTTAAAGATCGAATACTGATTTGATATAAGGATTAAAATACACAGCCAAAAGCCACTGAAATTGACCAGTTTGCATCTATGCATTAGAAACAAAAACAAATCCCAAGAGCTTCAGTTGTTAGGAGGATTCCCCACGAATATTTCATTATTTCTCATGTATATATCTAACACAGCCCATCATGTGAAAGGCTTGAAGCAGAAAACATTATACATACCACTGGAAGCCCTTCTAAGGACAACAACGCCATGTCAAACACTTTTCTTGCATGATCAATATTACCATAGTTAGCCTCTCTTTTTGCATATACCCCGCATAGCAATACATCCTACAGTCACCAAATACACACACAGAGACAAATGCATCGTCAGAAGTTGGTCATATGACTCAAAAAACGCTATAAATAAGAAGATAAAAAGGAACCTGCACATAAAGCTCATTAAGCAAAACCTTCTATCTCCCGTCTTCTTCAGAGACAGTGAAATAACAAACAGATAAATATTGTGATTCTAAAGTCTTAGGTAGGAGAATGAGTACCTTTCGATCACTTTTTAAGAGAGACTTTGCTAAAGCTCGACATGGGGTAACCAAGCAGCTAGAAGGATTTGTTTTTGTATTATATAGCTCTTCAGCAGTAAGAACAGCTTCTTCCAAGATGTAATTACGTGGGAAAATATTCAAACAAAGTAGGAGAGCATTCCGGAGAAACTTCATCATATCAGCACTCCTAGAGGAATGGCCTGACAGAAATTCAAAACTGAAAGCAGTAGAATTGCTTTGTGCTTTTGTTAAAACATTGTGGATATATCTCAACTTCTCTAATATCGAATCTGGCAGATCCTCCCAGCTAAGGCTAGTCTCTGCCCAACTTGGACTGTTTGAACAAATCCTATCAGGGAAATATGAGAAAGAAAAATGTCATCAACTTGCTAAAGACATTTTATTATGCCATAAGCAACCAGCAATAGCCAAAAAAAGCAAAAAGAGAAGAGAAGAGAAATCTAGGACGTAACAAAAGATGATAAATTGTGTGTGTGTGACAGAGACAGAGAGAGAGAAAGAGAAAGAGTCAACGGCGGTAAAATATTTAAGCTTAATTATGGACCTTTTTAACGATGCTTGCATGTCCTAGCCTATCTATAATCACACATGTTCCAAATATAAAATTGTGTACCTATGAGATGCTTAGGCTAGATTCAGCACATTGTTCAAGAAACAAGGGCCAAAAGTTGTTTTTGACTTTTTGTATCTCCAATACAGCATCAAGTGTGGAAGCTCATCTTGAAAATTACACTCAACCTCACCACCTCCACATTATGCTAAAATCAGACACTTGTTGACAATTATAATTACATGACAGGAAGCAAAAGGGCCAAAGATTAAACATGGTCTACTAAGCACTAAGACAATGCTGAAGAACCACACAACAATAAACCTAAACGCCTAAGAAGGGGACCCCCTTGTAGTTTTTACATGTCATTTTACATACATGAAACCTTAATCTTCTTGCATTGGCAGAAGGCATACCTCGCCAAAACCAAAAGTTGTGGTGAGGACATCCAAATCATAACTTGTCAGAACGTAATTTGAATGCTTCCTACGGCCAATTATAATAAAACCAATGAAGTGACTATTTACCCAAGAAAACTTACAATTGAGATATCTTCCCACCAAAGAAGTCAACGAATTGGAAAACCAATGATAGTCGTGCCTCTGTTGAGCTTAAGGAAAAGAGGTATTCATTCACATCTTCATACAATATGATCCGCGAGAGTTGCTCATCCTCTTCAGGCTCATGCGTTGCAGAATTAAGAGAGATCTTACCTATTCATGGTTAATCAATGTACTGGTGTAAGCAATTTATTTAGAACACAATCAGATGAAGTCAACTACATTTCTATGTATTTCTTGGTGATAAAAGCTGAATTCACCTCTAGACATGGTAGCAGAGGTGTTACAGAAAAGAGATAAGTAACAAGAAAAGAAGAATAACATGATGGGTTCCAGCATCCAAGAGGCTAACCTACCCACAAACAATCCAAAATCTTCCTTCTTTCCCCTACAAATTCCACCTCCTAAAATACCTAGTTAATTCTCTTAAATTTACTCTTCCAAGTCTCTGGTTTTTAGCGCATGTTTCATTTCACGTCTGAAAACCACCAAAATCATGGTTAGGGACGGAGCCAGAAAGAAAGTGTACGGGGGCAAATTATAATTTTTAGGTGAAAAAAGTTGAATTAATGCCTATATATATAAGCACCTACAGATTTTCAAGAGGGGTGATCGCCCCTTTTTATCACAGCCTAGCTCCCTCCCTGATCATGCTTTTGATGGAAACACGTAGTCACTAAAGCCATGGTTTTGATGATTTCTAGCCTGAAACCAAGCATGCCCTTCGTTATCCCAACCAGCCTGTATTTTCTTTTCTGCCCTTGGGAAGACACCTTGCTAGCCTTCGCTCTTCTAGAATAAGTGTGTGCAAGTGTGTTCTCATTACATCCATCACATGCAATAATTAAGAACTAAGCAAAACACAACTTCAAAAGAGGATATTTCACACCCCAAAAAAAAAAAAAGAATTATAAATGAAAACTATTACTGCGTAAATGCTAATGAAGACATAGCCTACCAGATTTCCTACGAACAGGCATCCATTGGTCACAATCTCTCGAAGACTCTTCTTCTGACCATTTGATCCAGGTTGCAGTTTCATTGACTTCACAATCATCCCCAGCATTAACATCAATACCAAGCAATTTTAGCAAATCTTCAGTGTCATCTTCCTGTTTCATGACTTCATCTTCATTCTCATCTTCATTGTGGACATCTTCAGAAATCAGATCATTGTTTGCTTCGTTTTCATCTTGGACAGTACCCTCCTTAACTTTGGATAATGGTTCTGACCAACCCGTCCAACCACCTTCTTCATCTTGGTGTGAGTTCTCCTCTTTCATGACCTTTTGTCTAGTTTCCTCCTCTCTCTCCAACCACGTGGACCAACCAAGGGCACCTTCTTCTCCAACTCTTTCACCTTCACTATTCCAAAAATGTTCAAATAGTCTTTGCTTACCCTGCTCTGTGAGGTGCAAAGGTGGACAAAACAAACTAAATTCAATTTCAGCCTGAAATAAAGCAGTAGCCAACTCCCTATAACCAGCCTGCCACTCAAATCTGCAAAGACTGACAAATATATCCACAAGACCAAGTTCTAGCTGAACAATTCCAGGATCCAGTGAAGAAGGATCAGCAGCTTGATGAACCTGAAAATATTCAAAATCACGAATTGATTTTCCTTTTAAACAGCATTGCAGAAACTTCCGCGACAGGAATATTCACAAAAAAGATTAGGATCAACATAAAACAGTCACAAAAAAAGAGATGTAAACTTGTTATATAACCAAGACAAGAATTCCTGCATACCAAATAACTAATTCATACACCTACAAAATGTTCAGGAAAAAAATCATGCTAAGATGTAAATACTTATATAGGCACAATGCTCAAAACATGCAGCAGAATAATTGATGCTTTCCAATTTGATTGGTTGAACATTTCAAAGTTGAAAGGGGGAAATCTAATGGTCAATATGGAATAGCACATAACGGAAAGGAAAGTGAAGAGAATTTGTTCGTGGATAATTCACCTTAATGCAGGAGAAAATATAAAGATATTCTTGCTCGAAGGCAGAATGGTGTTAAAAGGAAGTGTTGCTGTAATTCTTACCATTATAACTATTTTCCAGGATAAATTTTGTTCACTTCTTCCCTTAAAAAGATATTCGCAGCTCACAAATATCAAAATTAAAAAACAAATAAAATGAGTTCTCAAACAGCAGCTTTACACACTCCTCCCCCAACCCTTCTTGTTGCCCTATTTATTAAAACACATCCACATAAGGGATCAAAAGATTTATTTTAAAGTAATCAGAAACTTCTATGGACTTAAGATAAATAAAATCAATCAAAATAGAGGGCCAATATTCACTATCAAACAAACAAAACAAAAAAAGGAGGTGAAGCAGAACACAATTGAGAACCTGCCTAAAGTTCTTGCTGCGAGAAGCAGATAGGGCTTCAATTGCATGTGCAAACATTTTTCTAATCTCTGAAACCTTAAATCTAGAGAAGTCTCTCTGAACAACATGCAAGAATTCTGTCCATAACTTGTAACTTCCAGAATGCTGCAGAAGTATCTTTTCCCACCTCCCAATAAGGATATCTGAGCTGTCTCTCATTTGATAAGCTTTCAAAAGACATAACAATAGCTCTTCATTATCTGGGTTAAGATCAATTGCCTTCTCCAATATGCTAATCTTCTTTTCCAGAGTCTGCAAGCGAGCACCTTTCTGTCGCTGCATTCCTGCAACCTTGTCTTGAAACTCTGCAAAAGCTAACCAAACATTTTCATCATGTGGACGCTCCCTTGTCAGTTTGTTAAACTCTCGAGTTTTCCGGAACATTTCATCTTCCCAAGATTCTTCAAGCGCTGAAGCCATTGAGACAGATTCACTCTCAACAGCTCTATGAGTTGTCTTAATGTCTGATAAAGGTATGAAATCTTCAGTGGTCAAATCAGCAGACATTTTTGGTGCAACAAGACGAATACGCTTAAAGTTTTTATGGCGTTCTAAAGCCATATGCTTTGCAGACCAGTAGCGGCCCGAGGTTTTCAGCTTAGCATCCAATTCATCAACATCACCATCTCTTTCCAAGAGAGAATCCCTTTGATTCCTCCAATACAAACTTTTTACATGCAACCCAGATGGCTTTAAAGGATTGTAAGGTTTGTACTGAGCAATATCCATTCTGCATGTATTTGAGACTTATGATCATTCATTACTAAACAAAAAACCAAAACAGAACATCCAAGAAAATCGAAAAGTTTGAGAGACCAAGACAATCCCTGCCTTGATATTTTTGAACACATCAACAAAAAATAACTAATATTCTTTAACAGTGCCAAATTATACCTATAGATGCACCCAAATGCCAAATTATCGGGATCACCATGAGAATCAACGAAATATTCTTTAACGGTGCTGGTCTCATCAGCCCAAGTTCGAACACGAGACTTTCTCGAACCGTAATCATCCAATCCTCCCTTCTCTGAGGACCTATCACGCTTACGTTTCTTCTTCTTCTTTTTCTTGTCCTTTCTCTCCCTACCACGCTCTTCCTCTCTATCAGATGGAGATGATTCCAGAATCTCGTAGGAAGAAAATGGCTTCGGTTGAGCTTGATTATCAGCGGGACCTTCTTCATCTTCAAGGTCTTGATCTTCTCGCGGCGATTGGGTGGCCTCGCGGTTGAGCTGGGACGCAACGGCGTCGTTTATGACGGAAATGTCAGCGGTGAAGCTGGAGTTGCTGAGCCATTGGGGAACTGAGATGCTGGCGTGTTGTGAGGAGGCAGCGAGTGGAAGGAGAGGAAAGAGTGAAGCTTTAGGTTCATCAACTGTTGTTTCCACTTCTTCCGCCGGCACGGGCGATTTTTCTTCCATTTCGTTCTCCAGGTCCAGGCTCTGGTGCAAGGCACCGTCCGCGCTCGTGCCTTCTGTTATATGTTTGATTCGAAATCTGTAAAAAAAATTAATCGTATGATATAAAACATATTTCTAGTTCATAAAAATGTCACAATAAATAATGTAAATTTTGTTTAGTGCCGAAATTTATATATATTATATTTCCTCTTAAATGTAAAACCCTATAGCTTAAAGAGAGAATCCCAATTAAATCCAGTCAAAATACCTAAATTTAGATTTAGACCTGCACTTTTAACAAATTTCTAATTAGGCCATGAGACCTAATTAGGGATTTCTAAATATTGTTAAATAACCAAAATGCCCTTCTTCAATTAAAAAGAAAATTTGATTAATATACCTCTTCTAAGTGATTCCTCATCTCTTATGATTTTTTTTAGACCAAAAAACATATAAATAATTTTACGATGTTTGAAATTTATATATATAACTACACTATTAAAAATATTTTAATAAAACATGTTAAATTACAAATATAAGTAAAATTATAAATATAAGTAAAGTTTAAATAAATTTTTTTTATTTTCAGTTTTTATAATTTACGTTAGTTTTATTTATTTAAACAATGTTGGATCCAACTGAAAATGTAAATGATTATGATTTAATATTAAATTTTTATTATAATTAAAATATTTTAAAATTTTAAAATAAATATTTACAACCTGAAAAAAATATTTATTTAAAGATTACTTATATTATAATTTGAAATGTTTTATGAAAATATTTTGAAGATTTTACTTATATTACAAAATTTCAAACACTAAAAAATTATTTATATTTTTTTGTCTAAATATTAATAATAAGAGACTTTAGAGGGATAAAATAAGCAATTTTCATTTTTAACTAAAGAGGGGCATTATAGTTATTTAACAATATTCAGCAATTCCTAATTAGGTCTTATGTCCTGATTAAGAATTTGTTAAGAGTGTTGGCCTCAATTTAAATTTAAGTATTTTAGCAGAATTTAATTAGGATTTTCCCTACCTTAAAACAAGTCTTGCATTTAAAATCAAAATAATATTATTTTTAAAATCTGTATAACAGTTTTTGACAAAGAATAAATTATGTCAAAAACCAGGACCCATTACTTGAACTTTCATTTTCTTTTGTGCTGTGTATTTTCTTTGATGTTGTGTATGGAGAGGACCTTATAAGTTATAACCAGCATTAAAGTCTTTTAAAAAAATTTATAATACGAGAGATTAGTCATTGCTGTCGGATATCCTGGACTCAACCCAAAAAAAAAAAAAAAAAACAAAATTCAATCAACAAAATGATAATTATTTTATTTACTTGCTTATCAAGGGGTTTGAAACCACCCCAACCTTCCACCCAAGCTAACCTCAACTGTTGGTAATTTACTAATTTGAGAGCAATTAACCAATTCCATGTGCATTTTAATATGCCACACGTTGGTGAATTATCCTTACGACCGGAGGTAGTAGCATTTTTATTTCCATAGGCTTTCCTTGGTAGTTTCTACTGCCTTGCAAATATTCCACAAGTGTTTCACTTTTTTTTTTTTAATAATTAACGGGGCCAGAGCCCAAACACAAACTAAATCCAGATAAACCTAGGCTCCGAAACGCCTAGAAAATCTCTATGCAACATCTGCTCAAACCCTTAGGCGGTTCATGCAGCAGTTGGCAGGTATTGTTGGGTTGAAGGAAGCTCCATTTGGCAAGGCAGTCAGCAGAGCAATTGCTTTCCCTGTGAAACCCTTGGCATTACTGTAATATTTCATTTAGTTCTCACGACCATAACTTGCAAAGCCGTAACAAATCTAAATATGAAACCCTTGGCATTATTGGATTCATTTTGATTGTATAAAGAAAACATCATCATCCCATGAGCTAATAGCTCATTGGCTCTCGAATACAATTGTTAGCAGAGCATTTAACCGTTTCCAGTTCCAACACACATGATGAAAATCCATGCATGCTTGTCAGACAATAAAAAGATGAGATAAATGAGTTTCGAATTAAAGATATTTACAAGAAATATGACGATAACAATAACTTTGTGGGTGCACAAACACACAGGCAAATCCAGAAATTCCTGTTGCCCGAATGTCCCTGAAGTAATTAACAGTTGAACCCATTAGCTACCAAAATCCTAGACTCTGTAGAACAAAAACAAAGAGTCCTTCTTTACACAGGGTACAATTAGGTTGCTGCCAACTGGAAGGAAAGGCAATGGAATCCCAAGTTGAACAAAAAGCCCCCAGTTAGAGAAGCATTTCACCATCTTTGCTTTAATCTTGATTTATGCCCCAACTTGCAAGGCCACGTAAAATTGGATAAGCATCTAATTCACAAAATATTACTACATAGCCTAAAAGAATTATCCCACATCACGTACAAGATTTTAGGATTTCCCTTTCCAACAGACCAAACAAAGCAAAGAAAGTAAAACCCTAACAATACAGTGTACGTGCAAAGTTACATTCTTTCGTTGCATGGTGCAGGAACGTGAACGGGCAGGCAGAACTACCTCATCATCACCCTTCCAAATAGCTAGTGAACACAGTTAAGAATAGATTGACGCCTTCCCTGATTAATACACCTAACCCCACTTATGGGCCTGCGATGTTACCTCCAAAAGCACACCAGGTTCTCTTCAAGATGATATTGGTTCGTAAGGGTATGATAACCATGGGTGCTTCAGGGCCTCTGATGCAGAAGGCCGTTTCTTTGGGTTAATCTCAAGCAAATGCGCAACAAAGTCAATGAAGCCTTGATCTCCCATTGGCAATCTATGCCTCAAGGATGTCTTCTTCGGAATAAGGTACTCTAACCTGTTGGTTTCCTGCATATTACCAAAAACAAAGAAGAGTTTATTGACGGTTGAAGTCAAATATTGTTGGGGCAAAATGGCAAGGCAACAACATTTCCACTGTGACACACCAGGAACTGAAATATTGAGCATTGAGAAGCTTATACATTCAAGCAATCCATAAATCACTAATTCTCCCTTGAATACTAAAGCAATGATAACTCAAATTATGGAAAGAGGAATGCTTGGCTGCATGCCAAGACGTCAAGTGATATTCCCGCTGCAGTCAAAAAGAAAAATAAGGGAGATGAAGGCAAAGATGAGGAAGAGAAGAAGGAAGGCCAACTGATTGATAAGGAGAGATATCAGAGTTTGGTAGGAAAATTGACATACTCGTCACATACAAGACCAGATATTACCTTTGGTGTGAGCTTTGTAAGTCAGCATATGAACTTAGCAAAGGAAATCAACCTATGAACAAGGTGCAGAATTTTGAGGTGCTTAAAAGGCACCCCCGAAAGGGGGCTATTCCTCAAAAGAGGTTAGATGACCCATATCTAGGTATTGTACCTTTGTTTGGGGCAACCTAGTAACTTGGAGGAGAAAGAAGCTGAATGTAGAATTTCCTATGCTTCTGTGAGGGCTTGTGGCTGCAAATATTTCTCAAAGAACTGCAGACTGGTGTGGAATTGCCTATTAAACTCTATTCTAATAGCAAGATGCCTTAAGCATATCTCATACTCCAGTTCAGCATGACATAACAAAACATGTGGAAGCAGACAAACACTTCATACAGGAAAAGATTGAACATGAAGCTCTATGCTTAATATCCGTCCCTTCAAATAAACAAGTTGCTGATCTTCTCTCCAAAGGACTTCCAATTCCAAGAGAGAATTTTGATGAATGTGTATGCAAGTTGGATATGATCAACACCTGTGATCCAACTTGAGTGGGAGTGTGGAAATATCTTTGCTTTTATTCTAAATATTTTTTGATAGGGTTAGCGACTAGAAAGTGAGCGTATAGCATTTATTAGTCTTTATTCTCTTAGTCTTCCTCTGCATATATCATTGATGTACTGGTGCTATTAAAGATATATAAAAAATACTTTTCTCTCAAAAATCCCGCACAAGCAAACAAGATAAAAGGAGCTCCTTTAAAAATAATATGGGCAGTCCTCTTTTCATTGAAGCATTTTACTTCAACAGATAGGGGAACATGAAATAATTCTCCTCTTATATTTGCAATGTCACAAGAGTTTGTCCCATCCTGATTAAAACCTGATAATAACACCATGTCAATGGCGGTTGCTTATTTAGTCACAAGAGGAATTATCCTTAACAAGGTCAAACTAATGTACAACAAATCTAATATATCAAATGTTTCACCATCATTCACTTTGGAAGATAGCAGCTATCTTTGGAGCTTCTGAAAATGAGACTTTCTACTTTTTATGACTTCCACTCATCAATTCACACAAGCCGATGATATCATAAAAAATGTGCCCATATCAGTGTGTTGGTTAACACTCAAGCAATGCGGGAATGTGCTGACCACATATTTTCCATTCTCTTATGACCTGTTAGTGAAACTTTATTTGACCGTCATCTTAGTTTTGCTTCTCCCTTGCAGAGATCACACCACTTGACACGTGAGATAGACACGGAGGTATATGGCTGGTAACGAAATCCAATTATGGAAGTTTGACAAGACAATGAAGCTGAAGTGCCCTAAGTTGGTGGCCAGTCAATATATCGACCTCTAAACGTCCCCCCCCCCCCCAGTTGATTCATTTTGCACGAACATAGCAGAAAAAATCTCCAAGTCCCAACAAGCTATATCTACAGCGTTGAGTAGGCAGAAAGCTGTATGCTTCTGAGTTCTCAGAGATTACATCAACATTAATAAAAGAACATACATATAATTCTGAGTTGGGAATAGCAAGCTGGCATGATTTACAAATAAAAGAGGGCAAGAGATAACTGACTAAAACAACATACAATTGCTTATGTAATTAAAGAGCTCCTTCTCATCACTTGGTTTGGTTATCTGCTTGTATTGTTTCTGCATAGGGCCTGACACCTACAGTCTCATATGTTTAACAGTTCTCTACTTCTCTGTCTGATTTCTTCTTAGGGGGTGTTTGGATAAAATCAAAACCATGATTTCAGAAGTACTTTTATAGTATACGAGATAAATATATGGAGGAGTTTGTCTCGATTTGCAGAAAAGTACTTCTGAAAAGTGTTTATTGGGTTATCCAAACACCCCCTTAATGCATCATGAATAAGCAAGTCAATAGAAATGAGACTTTTAGTCTGGACTACAAGCCAGGCATATGACATCTGGTACCTATAGTTGCAGGCAATTGATATTGTACATAAAGTAAAAGGAAATTGCAATTCTTACCTGATTCCTTTCATAAAGCATATGATTTTTGGTGAAATACTTGTATGTATCCCGTCCTTTTGCAAGCATGCTTTGATCAATTGGACCAATGATGCCAATCACTCGGGCAAGTAATGTTGCCGGTGAATCATTTTGAAAGAGGACCTATGAATGTTTGGCAATGTCAGAGGGATAAAGTGTAAAGCATGCATCCATTCGACAAACTAGGAATGGAAGCACTTGCGGCAAAACAACAGATAAATCTCACAACTACTTTAACACCACCCCCGCTAAAACAAAAAAAATAATGATGATGACAACGATGGTGATGATGATCACTTGGAAAAAACTGATCAATTATTATCATTTAGGAGGGGAACAGACCCGCAAAAAAACACCAACCACCCTCAAGTTAGTAGAACAATGGGAAGTGTCTCCCATGGAACATTTAATGGCTTAAGAGGGACATCTTTGATACTAAGAAAAAATTTAGGATTAATACAATTTTTAGTCTCTCAATTTTGCCTTTACTTTGGTTTTAATTTCTCAAATTTTAAACTACAGGTTTTGGCCCCTCAAGTTTCTTTTTGTCTAAAACATTAGTCCCTACAATTTAATAAAAATCTGAACTAGTTTGCCCCTTAAGAGACCAGAACTCATGATTTGAAATTTGAGGAACCAAAACCAAAATTCGAACAAGCTTAAGAGACCAAAGATTGTACTAACCCAAAAATTTATAATAAACTTTGCGCCATAATTTCACCAAACATCAATGAATCTTACATTGCCAGTACAAAGTTCTGCCAAGATGCAACCAAGTGACCAGATATCAATCTTCTTGTCATATGGGAGTCCCAAAATAACCTCTGGAGCTCGATAAGACCTTGACTGAACATATGAGCAAAGGTGATCTGTCTCAAAACAGCTACTCCCAAGATCAATCACCTTCACCTCACATCTGCTATAGCTTTTTACCAAAATATTCTCAGGCTTCAAGTCACAATGTATTAGTCCAAGGCTGTGCAGAAACTGAAGTGCTTCCAAACATTGAATGGTTATTGACTGCAGTCATAGAAATAGATAAGTTCACAATGATGATAAAAAAGATGTAAATAAGACATCACGAAAAGGATAGCATGCCACAAACCTGCAGTCTTGGCATTGTGAAGTACACTTCCCCCCCTGATTCTCTATTAAATTTATGGAACTCATATAAGTTGGCTTTAAGTAGCTCACATACTATTAACAGATGTTCCTGCATTACAACAGGGAGAGAGAATTAGTGGCAGTAAAGTGAGCAAATCAAAATAATGCCTTCCTAACATTGGGTATGACTTGGAAGTGAGATGGCAACTTGGTAACATATTTCATCTCATCAATTCGACTCATTTGAGTACGACTTGGACAGTTAGTTTAACTAATTGCTTTCAAAGTATTGCAAAGTATTGAACTTACAATGTTAGAATTCACTGTATTCGATCATGCTTATGTAAGATAACACGTGCCATAAGTTATAATTCTGGCAGAAATTATAAACAGATAAATAGGGTATTATTCAAAATAACCATTGGTCTAGCAGAAATGTCAATTTTACAGGTAAAGAAGGTGAAGATCAAGCAAGTAAAAATATAATATGGATAAAATGCCATTTCAGCAACAATAAATAACAACAAAAAAGAATACCTAATCTTGAAAGGGAAGCAATATCATAATCTAATGCTCAATACAAGATATCCCATGCACCATAAAAACCTTGAACTAGAGAAGCACATTACAAAATTATGATAATCTTATTATCCAATGCTCAATACAAGATATCCCTTGCATCATAAAAACCTCAAACTGAAGAAGCGCATTGCAAACTTATGCTAATCTTATGACATGAGCTAGTAAAAATAAAGAGCACATAGCATCACATAGTCAATGCATTAGATAATCCAAGGTAACAGTCGGCACAAAAAGTAGAGAAAATTTTCCAGATGACAGATGGCATGGAAAGCCGGAAAAGAGAAACATAAAATAAGTAAATGGCAACATGTAGATATGCCTGCATAGACGGCTTGAAAGATACAGTTAACAGATCAATAGTAGATTTAACAATCACTTACTCTATAATAGAAATAATCATACAACCGAAGAATGTGATACTTGTCCGCAGGGTCATGCTTATTGACATACTTGAGAAGCTTGATCTCGTCAAGGCTTTGATCAAAAAAATCTTTGTTGTTCTTTATAATTTTAACACAAACATCCATGCCAGTATGCAGGTCATGAGCCTGTATAGCTTTGCTGAATGCAGCAGATCCAAGATACTCAGTGACATGATATCGCCCAGCTATTACAGAATTTAAAACAACATGGAAATTCTTGTCTTCCTCAAAGCCAGTTCTGAACAATAAAACATGGGTTAGGGTGAAAGAAGGGGGTCCATAACACAATGACATGAAATGATGCCTAATTTACATGGCAAGAAATTATCATAAGTATTTGAGGTCTTTCTTCCATGGAACAAATATAAATAAATGAAAAATACAACCTTCCTATCAAGGGAAAAGAAGTTCACTGTTCCAATAATATATTGTTGGAATAGAGAAATAGAATGAAAACGTTCTAACAAATTAAGAATAGGGTGCGCAAAGTTCATCAGTCTCAATATTTAAAAAAAAAAAAAAAAAACGATAGTGATCACTAACTCCAATCATAAACTTAAATTCAATGAAGATGGCAACAGCGATTATCAGATATGTATATGTGAACCTGCAAATAAACATGATTATAAAGCTATAGTTGAGATCAACATATTGAATGAGACATGCCTGTTTTTCCTGTGCACAATCTTTAGATTGAAGGTTTCAAATTCCTCCTCCTGTGCCTTTATTTGTCTCACTTGCTCTTGAACAGCAGCAGCCTCTTCGTCTTCCAGTGATGCCCCAAGATCTTCTTCCCTTGCACCACCATCCTTTTCATCCCCTTCAAGCTTGACATGCTCTTTTTCAATATATCCATAATTTGAGACTGTTGGAGAAGAGTTAGAGGACCTTACATTAGCATTATTTTCATCCCTAGAACTTTTCATGGGTGAAGAATCACCCCGCCTCCATAAAGCAAGCTTATCATCAGATCCCACAAGTGCATTAAGACTGTCATCATTCTCATCAGCATTGCAGTTTGACCAAGGGGGCATACTAGTGCCAGCCTGAATTGTTGGACCATCTTTCAGGGATAGGGGAAATGAGAACCCATCAGTATGAGGTTTCATCTGCAAGAATGTAGCTTTATCATCCTCAATGACATGTTTATTTGATTCACTCTTATCATTTTTCTTCCTATATTTGCTCAATTTATTGATAGATTTCTTATTCAGGTCATGAGGGTGTCTAGGGCCACTAAGTCCAACATCATGGTCACGGAAATATTCTAAATCCCCTTCACTGCTACCACCAACCAAACTTTCACGCACTTCACTGCCAATATCTGCAGCATCACTGTTGATCCCCACTCCAATTGACCTAATGGAACCATGGTGATCATCATCCATATCCTCAAGTCGCAATCTTCCACTCTCATTAAGAACCTTCTCATCTCCAAGCATGATTAGGTCATCTGTCTGAGTGACGAAGCCCTGCCAGACAGGTTCTGCACGCATGAGATTCAATTCTTCCTCATCCATTAATTGCCCATCATATTGAGCCATTAGATCACCCCCATCAGTTCTGTCATACACTTCAGTTACTGTTAGACCAATAGGATCATCAGAAGCTGTGACTGGTTCAACATTCTTTGCTTGAAGATATTGCTCTCCAGAGAAGTAAGAATCCTCCTCAGCAAAAGATTGGTCATCGTCATCATCTTTGGCTGGACCTCTGTCTTGATGATCTGGAACACTTCCATGCCCATTCCCCTTTTCATTATCACTAGGGTAATCAATTTCATGCGCCAAAAACCAGGATTCATCCTCAATAGGTTGTCTCATGTACCCAACATCATCATCATCATCATATTCATCAGAGTCCCAATATTCATTTTGATAATCAACAGATTCACTCAATCCATCACCAACTGTAGCAAAACCAGACACAAGATCAGATGTATCCTCTGCTATCCCTTGACTTACAGAGAGCCAACTGCCCCCTGTAGCCCTCCTCATACCTGGAGTACATATGCAAAGGTCAAACCTAGTCTTCAGAAGAAGTGTGCACGGTAGACAGAATCAGATATAAAAAATTAGGAATCAGAACCAGAAATATAGCATATAATAAGATCAGTGGCAAATTAATCATCTATTACGCTGCATATCGTACATTACTTTAGAGAGCATATGCAATAGGAAATGCACTGGAACAAACAGTGCAAAAAAAGAAAAATTGAAAACCAGCATTTTAAAATCAAATGAATCTTCCTTTCACCGCCATCATATTACATACATAGATATGCAGGGGAAACAGAGTTTATGAAACCAGACTGTAAAACCAGTAAACCAGCCAGGATTCTAGTCTGGTTGGCCTTGAAAACTGACCAACTGAAAAATCATCATAAACCAGCGAAAGCAATCAAAAACTGGCTGACGCATAAAACCAGCCAAACCAACAAGTTGACCAATTCAAGAAGGCACTGGATTGCTTCTATAGGCCCCCCATTTGTATTTGATATGGGACTAAAGGTTCTTTCCCACAGCATCTTCCTCTAATAGAGAGACCTTGCTTGAGTCTGATATGTCCTACCTCACTTGTTCTAGTTTTGGGTCTAACGGAGAAAAGCCATGGGAAGAGCTCCTTGCTGTGACTAGGAAAATGTTAAGAGGGGCCCCCGGTCTCCTAAGTAAGATGCATAAGCAGAGCACTCAGCCACATCCATGGCAATGCTCAGCTTCAATCCAGCCTCATCATCTTCTACCTCTTCTACTGCTTCTTACTCCATTCACCCCGTGGCATGAGAATTTCCGCAGTCAGAATAGTGCATAGAGTTTATGGAGCTCACTGAAGCGTGCTTGTGTTTTATAGCTTCTTCCAATGCAGTCTCAGAAGGGGCATGAATGCTCTAAAATATGGCAAAAGACACTTTTTCCATAAAAAGACTCCGTTTCTTTGGGTGCAAAACATTAATTTAATAAGGAGAGCCTAATCTTGCCAAGAGAGGAGTTGGCCCTACAGCGCTTTAAATGGTATAGCCACCCAAAAGCTAAGTAGATGAGAAAGGATGAATTTGCATATAGTTAAAGAAAACTCACCTATGATACTAGTTTTTGGCTTAATTATTAGTTGATATAACTTGTTGTATTAAATGTTTACATGATATATATAATTACTATCAGTTCAACCACCATAGTTACAGTGAACTATGGATTAGTGTCTTTACATGTTGAATAACAAGCTTGTTTTAAAAGGAAAGGAAACAATGACTGAGAGAATAAAAATTTTACAAAGTTTTTGTTATGAGAAAGCTATCAATAATCAATAAATTTATTTATAATCCAATCTCCATTGAAATCCACAAATGCATACTGTACTTATCAGGAACATTGCCAAATAATTTCATCCTTTGCACAGTTAACTCAACTACAAACAGCCTCCTAGCAGGGAGCATGAGGATTGCAGTCAATTCACATTTTCTGCAACTTTTCTCTAACAATATTATTGTTGACTAAACATATAATCTTCTCATTATTCCCTCCTAAGTTGTGTGATTTAAAGCTTCCCTTTCTTAAATAACAAACAAAACATGTATTCTACACAGTTCAAGTAGCAATACATTACCAAAAAGGGGCAATTAGATATCCAAGGCTCGTGAAGAGCTATCAGCTTACAGTCCTCAAATTCACACAAAGCGTTATCGCAAATCCTACTGTGAACCGCAGGATTAGCTGTTGGAAGACATGTTGGGCTATCTACTTCAGCCCAATTAGTTTAAGTTCAACCTAGTTTGGACCTAATTAGAATGAGTCAGTTTTTAGTAATTATTTTATTGTTATTATTCGCATTATCTTTTCCTGATTTCATGGGATTCCAAATTGAATTCAACTCTATATGTGTGCGCAAGCCGCACAAGTGAATAATAAGAATTCTCCTCCTTTAATTCTGAAACAACATTAGCATACTCATTGACCCCATAAGCTGCCTTAATGATATATTCTCATTGAAAACCTTCCTCTTTGAAACAGATAAGATATAGAGATAAATTACAAAAGAATGGTGAGAGAAATACCAAAGTGCAAATCAATCTAATCATCCACGCTATTAAAAATCATCAAGGCAACTGATCAAATTTTCACACAATACATCAAGAGAATAAAGCTTCAAATCACATCGGCTTTACAATATATCGCCAAATCAAAACTTGAAATGTAAGTATAAAGGAACAAACAAAAGAATAGATAAGAACACTAGATCCCAAGTCCAGCGAGGGGTAAAGGTTCCACTAAGCCCACAACATTAACTAAAATCATGACTAATTAACTAATCCAACAGCTAAAACAGACACATACACACACATAAGAAAAAAAGAGAGTCTGCTAATTGAAATTCAGATATCACTAGTGAATAATGGATAGCATACAGTAAGTGTCATATATGAGCTAACCTGAAGGATTAATTTCTTGTCCGACAGGCACATCCAGATATGATCCAATGATTAAGGAGCCATCAGCACCTGCTACCCTTGAAGCAGGTCCATCACGCTCAAACTTTTCCTCCCAGTTAATAGCCAAAGGCTTATCCTCTGACTTTAGTCTAACAGGAGGAAGCCTAGGAAATTCTTCCTTCTGGTTCCCAGGAGCAAGAGGGAAACTTATGCTACCAATAGTCTTCTGTTCTGAACTGCCTTGTGACTTGCCTAAGTATATAGCTCGACCAACTTCATCTACTTGCTCTTTTATTGATGCACGAATATCACTTATATCCGCCCTTCTTTTTTCCTCTTTCTTGTCTGTATAAGGTGCATTATCACAACGTGAAGAAACGTCACCCTTAGAGAAGGGGAAAACAGTCTTGACGGAACAGTCTCTCCAAATGTCCGAAGATGAATTAACATTCTCATCAGATGTTGACCAGGGATTATCTGCAAAGTTCTCTTTAAAAGATGAATTGTTAAATTTAAGCTGCCGATCAGATTCCCTAGGTTCTTTGGCTTGCAAGCTTTGATGCTTTTGTTCCACAGATGCTCTAGTAATACTACTTCCAAGCCATGAGGCTTTCTTATCAGTGGAAACAGTATTTTCCCCTCCAGATTTTGCAACGGTGCTGGACACATCAAGAGCTTCACTTGTTTGATATTTTGACTGCTGAGATGACGGACCCTTAAAACAATTATTGGAACTTGTGCCCACATCATTTTGGAAAGGCTCCACGGGACCATTGCCAGGATTGAACTTCCACGAGTATAAATCCAGCACCCCGTCCTCTGAACTTTTAGAGAAAGCTGAACTTTTGTCACTTGTCCCAACCACTTCATTTAATTTATTCCGTTCCCCAATAGAAGGTACATTGTTCCATTTGCGTTCAGTTTCATTCCTACCAGTCCCACACTCTATTTCCTTCACAATGAGTTCTTTTGACACTTCAACGGTATTGTGAGAACCTGACCCTTGAACTTCTACAACTGGCCTCCCCTTGTTGTCATTTTCTGAATTACTATGCAAGGCCTTTTCTTCCAAGGAAAGCTTCTCAAGAAAGCCATTTAAGTCAGGATGGCTATTAAGCTCCCCACGCAATGCTGCTTCAGCCCTTGTAAAACGATTCTTCCTCAGAAAGTCCAATATAACTTCAACAGAGTTTGTGTCCGCCATTATCAAGCTCAACAAACCTAGACTCAAACGAAAAATAGATATAACCAGATTTCAGAAAACCCCAAACTAATAGCTCATTCAAAATTCCAAAAAAGAAGAAAAAGGCACAAGGTCACAACATCAATCTTTCCTGATGAATTTGAGTGTAGAGAAAAGACGAAACTTTTAAAAGTGGTGGGAACCCATCAAGCCATTTTGAGTCGAGAAAGTGGAAAAGCTTACCCCGAATCAAGCACAACCAAGTGGCCGCATTTTGTCTCCTTTGTACCCTGATTAAACGGAACAGCAAACCATTCAGAGGTTTATATTATTGTTTCTATTCGAACAGATTTCCAGCAATCAAGAAGAGCAAACTCGTCCAAATTGATTTCTCGAGAATGTCGAAGCCTAGGTTTCAAAATCCATCATTACAAGGTGCCGGCCAAGCTCCAAGAGTGGAAAGAAACTACTCTCAGCACCGATCCGGCACCAACACAAACATATTTACCCCAAAATCTACAGAATGGGAATCCATGTTGCAAGGAATTCCTTCTCCTTGAGCCCTCCAGTAAACAGGAAATTCCTGAGCTTTTCAGAGCGGGATTTATTTCTCACACAACCTTCTTGGTCACAAAAAGCTAGAACCTAATTTCCACATAAAATCAAGATCTGACATTTACGGAGCAAAATGATTACCTGGGTTTTGGAGTAAGATGTGAAGAGGAAACAAATGGGCCCCAGAATGACGAACAAAGAAAGTTTGAAATCCCAAAACAAAGTGAAAAAAAAAAAACATAGGAAAAGGGAAGAAATACGCAAGCAGACGGAGGAGGTGGGAGAGCACCTGGCGGTGGTGGGTGGTGGGTCGCTGCTTCTATGGGCTGCCTTGCCTTGCCTTGCCTTGCCGCTGTACTGAAAATTTTGGAGGTGGTACCGAGGCTGGTGAGATGCTAACATATATTCGCCAATTACGATATTTTAAGGTTTAAGTCGTTTGCAATAATCTCTGCACCATTTGGAAGGCTAAGCATCTTCTGTTAGGGTTTTTTCATTCATAATTTTAAAATTAAGACCGGCATTGCATTAGTGTTCGAAGCAACTTAATTTCCTTTCAATGAAATTTCGTATCAAGAAAAATTCTTTGATACACAAGCGCACAAAATTCTTTGATACACAAGCGCACATATACATACGTGTGCGTGTATTCTCTAATCTCCTAGTTCTTTTTTATTTGTTGTTCAGATTTGTAACAATTAAATTATATAATATTTTCACCAAAAAAATCTGTATGATATAATTAATACTCGTACATCAGAATGTTTAAAAATTTTCCCAATACATCCTTAGTTTATTTTATATATATAGAAATAAAGCTTAAATCAAACTCTTTATATTCATTTTGTCATGTTCTCTAATCATACATAATCATGTATCTTTTTTGGTTTCGTGTGATTTATAACTAAATACTATTAAATATTAATATTTTAAAAATAAGAGACATGGTTATATGTCATTAGAGAATTTAAAATAATAAATATAAGAAACTTGATATAAGTATTGTCCACATATATATATAAAACTATTTTATTATTTGTGTTATTATTATTGTTTTAAGGAGTGTTTGAATGGAAACCAAACCATGATTTCAAAAGTACTTTTACGGTTTACAAAATAAATATGTGGAAGAGTTTGTCTCATTTTATGAAAAAATGTTTCTGAGAAACACTTTTCAATGTTACTAAACACCTCCTTAGTGAACAGAAGCCAAAATTTCTCAAAAACAGCCATTAGAGTGATAAAGAGGGGTGGGAATATAATGTATGTATATACTGCACGGTATAACATTATAAAATGCTTCATTATAATAGTGTGTGTTATCACTCTGCAATGCATTCTAATTACGAGTTAATTCCAATTTTAATACAACTTGACCTTTTAAAGCATAATATTGGTTTTTTAGTTATTTAGCATATGCTTCAGCTCAAAAAAAAAATTATCTGGTATATGCTGGAAAATCTGGCTCCTGCTTGAAACATTTAAAATGGACAGCCTAACGAAAGAGAACGTTACTTGCAATTTATTTTGATAAATTAGAGCACTCGCATGCCAGGTTTTAATTAAATATTTTAATTTAATAAAACAATATTATCGTATTTTGAATTAATTATTAACAAAAAAATCAAATGATCTGAAAGAAATTGTTATTGTTTATCTCTGACGGCTCAATGAAATTCACACAAGATCATTAAATACAGTTTAATTTAATTTAGTTTTTGATTTGAAGATTTTGATTTGTCAAAAAATAAAGGAATATATATATTATAGTAAAATAAAAATCATGATAATATATAAATGCAAGTTATTAAAATAGAGTAATTATTTCTCACACAATGACATAAAGATAAATACAGTAAGAATACTCCAGAATAAAAGTTATCCTTGTTTCCTCTTGCTTTCTTCTATGATTATTTTTAACTTTGCCAAATCTTGGATACTTTTTAGAACCAATTATTATTATTATAAAAGAAATAAATAGATTTTCATTACATTTTAATCAATTTAATTTCATAATTATCAGTTTATTATTGAAAAATCTCTTAAAAAGACATTTAAATAACTCAACTCCTCATTTTTTGTCATGAAATTTGTCAAATTCTATTGTTGTATAAAATTTTAAAATCCTTCTTTGATTCATGTGACATGATTAGGGATTTTAAATTTAATGACTAAAATAAGAATTTTGATTATTTAAATATCTTTTTATAGAATTTTCCCTTTATTATTTGTTTAACTATATGTAATTTCATAACCTTCATTCTATGACATCATTATTATTGTTGTCACAGGAATCTTTATACTGCTAAACAGAGAGTATGCAAAAACCCGATAGTTTGAACCGTCAATCTAACTCAAGATGGTCCAATCCAATCCAAATAAACAACTAGATTAGATTGGACATCAATGGCTCTCTTAATCCTAATGGCACTGCAACTTGCAGTGGTCTAATAAGAGATGAAACATGGAAGTTAATTGGCTAAAAGGCTTCTCCATTTATTTCGGCCAAACACAGTAGTGGAACTCCTAGGACTATCACTGCTAGGCACGAGTTTAAGGAAACTAATGGTTGTGCGTATTGGCTCGCTTGCCATATTGTTTGTGAGACGCTCTAACATAACGATTTTACATCACTTCTTGGGTATCGTAATTTTTTGAGATTTAATATGATCTTAGTCCTGTTGTCTTTCACATGACTTTGGTTGGGGCTTCGTATTTGAAATAATATAAATGAAGCTTAATTAATTATAATTTATATAATATATGATTTATTGAAAGACAGATTAAATTGTCAGTGATACGCAAACCTTTGTTTAAGCACATAATAATATTAAGGAACCAAAATAAAACTTGTTTAAAGTTAAAAAAATAAAAGCACACTTAAAGTGATTTTTTTTCCTAAACATACGTATCTTTTACTAAATTAATTCTAGTTGAGGCATTATTAAGTACTAACTGTAGACATATTTCTTAACAAGAATTGTACTTTGGGTTGCTACATGCGTTGGACCCAATTTCAGTGAGTTAAGTAACATGATACGCAGTCTTTTACTTTCTTTTCTTTTTTACATAAAGAGGTGAGTTTTCCAGGAGCTACCAGGGTCAGGGAATGCCTCTAGACTCAAAGAGCGCTTACAGATGTACTTACAGATCGCACCACAAGGTCCCACATCGGCAGTTGGGTGTAACCTTGTGAGTTATAAACCGTAACTGACTCTTGTTAGTAGTCTTTTACTTTTACAGGGCGAAAGGGGGGCCTCCCCAATATGGGCTAGGTAGAGCCCTGTGAATTGGTTATGGCCTTGTAGGTGAAAGTATTGGCTTTCATTTGTGATTTTGAATCTGGGATCACATTCAGGAAACTGGTAAATCGGAAGCCGCAAAAGCAGGGCATTGAGCTAATTTATCTAAGGGATGAATAATAATAAAAAATGAGCAGAACATGCGTTTAGAACTGCATATCTTATGTCATAAGGAGTTCACATGACGCTTAACTTTTTTTTTTTTTTTTTGGGGTAATGTGAGTGTTTACGCTTCGTGAATAAGAAACCACATTATGCGAAACCTAGAATTATATATAAATAGTTAGTCTGATGATAAAAGGTTCTATTAGATTTTTTTGAATCTCGATATCTTTATAGAGAAGGAACGCCACAAACTTCGAATCAGATTAGTTGACTGCTCATATATCAAGTAATAAGATTTAGAAAAAGTACGGGATGCTGGATGATAATATAAAAAAAAATTATATTTAACATGATATAATTGAATTGAATGAATTTAAATTAAGCTAACACGCACGTATTATATAAATCATGAGGATTTTTATTTAATTTTATCAAAATAAAAAATAAAAAATTATATATTTGTATAATTAGATAACTAGGTCACCATCTATCTACTTAGTGTAACAACGCACGTAAAAATAATATAAACTAGTAGATAATATATATATATATAGATATTAATTTTAAGGGAGAAGGACAAAAAACCCCTAAAAATTAATAAATTTCAAATAAGGATCCATTACCATACTTTAACAGGATTTGACAATACTTTACTATTGACTAGTTCATCGGTCAGTAATCCGGTTTGGTTTAAGTAATAAACTGGTTAGAAATTGAATCAGTATTAACCCTATCAAATCAAAAAGAACTGATGATGGGCTGATTATGTTGTTATTTGTCCTATTTTTTCTCATCTAGTTCCAAATATCTGAATAAAATTTCATGATGATTTTGGTATCAACGGCTGTTAATTTTAATTATTGAGGAATCATAAAGATCAAAATCTTCAATATTGTTGTATCTTGTTACCGTTGCAAATCAAACTATTGTTATATTTTCTTATATATTGTTATTAGTGATTATTAATATTATTTTATTTTGTTATTTTCAATTAAGTTATATTATTTTAATATGACTAATTTGATTTTGGATTGATTTTGGTTTGAATTACCACCACCACTTCAACCAATTTAGTGTTTGGTTCGATTTCTTTGCACTTTTGTAAGAATACCTGATTTGGCGATTTTGTAATTTTCATGGTTTTTTTTTTGGGGTCATTTTCCCTACTTTTACCCATATTTTTTTGACAAAAAAACCACCCCCACCACGCCGAGAGAGCAAGAGCAGACCACGGTTGACACCGTTGCGTCGGTGGCTGAGCCATAAAGTAACGGTTTCGCACTGTAAGGTGAAACATCAAATATTTCAGTGAGGCGCCGAGTCTCTGTCACTGTTATACCAACAAAAGCCAAACCTCACCTCTTCCTTCTTCTGCTAACGTTTCCTTCATTTATAAGCCCCTTTCCGTTTCGCGGACTTTCGTAGAGCTTTATTCTTCCCTCCCTCCCTCTCTCCCCCCTGTGATTTTCTTTTATTTTGGGTTTACTTTAGGTCCCTTGGTTTGAAGGGAAAGGTGAACGATGGGGAGGGCGGTGGCGGTGTTGTTCATCGCTTTTGTGTTCGTTCTTCTGGATGTGACCCAAGTGAGATCAGATGCATCAGATCATCGTTATAAGGAAGGAGATCTGGTGCCTCTTTACGCTAACAAAGTTGGGCCTTTTCATAATCCCAGGTAAACGATGGCTCGATCTACCATTTCTGTCTGAAAATTTCGGATATAATTTCTGTGCTTCTTTGTCATGATTTTTTTTTTCCCGCGGGATTATGTCTGGGTTCACAAGCATCTTTATCTTCAGCTGGATCTAAGTTCATTCTGAGCGATAGTGTTTGAATTAGAAATCCGCTTACCCGATCCTCCTTTTATCTCAATTATACTGCCGGAAAACGTGAATTGCCCAAAGATTTTGGTCTGATGTTTCAGAGTGATAAGATTGGGGACAGTATATAATGCAAATTGTTGCACTTTACTTGATCCCTGATATTGCTATGCTTCCGTTATGCGTAGCTGGGAAATGCTGTTATCATGTTCTGGAGTGTCAGGTGCAGATACGTTCTATGATTTATGTTCTCTTCTATCCGTTTGAAACTTGTTACGTTGCCTGACATTAGAATCATGGGACTTACACATGGGGATGTGGGATCTTGTTGTTGAACATGTATGTGATCTCCGAATGCTGGATCTATTGCTATGATCCAAAGTAATGAAATTTATTTTAGTTGCTATGGTGGAAATGGGTTACGAATTACTGGTAAGTCCTCAATGTTAGATTGACTTTGTTAAAACATCTGTCTCTCGGTCCGTGTGTGTCTCTTGCTGGCAGGATTTATATTTGTTTGGAACAGTTAAATCAATGTTCGAATGAGGTTCATCATGAATGAGGCGTTGATATGTAATAACTATGCTCTTTTTCTTTTCAGTGAAACCTACCGTTACTTCGATCTTGCATTCTGTTTACCAGGTTGGTTTTGGGCACTCAGAACTCTCCTTTTCCATTGACTTGCCATGTTTTAGTGGTCATCTTATTGTTTTGACGCTGCTTGCAGAGCATGTGAAGGAGAAAAAGGAAGCTCTTGGAGAAGTATTGAATGGTGATCGTTTAGTGAGTGCCCCTTATAAACTTGAATTCCTGAAGGATAAAGATTCTGAAGTAGTTTGTCAAAAGAAACTCACTAAAGAAGATGTGGCCAAGTTTCGGTCTGCTGTACGCAAGGACTACTACTTTCAGATGTATTATGATGATCTACCTATTTGGGGTTTCATAGGAAAAATTGATAAGGATGGAAAAGACCCTAGTGATTATAAGTACTACCTGTACAAACAGATTCACTTTGAAATTTTTTATAACAAGGACCGTGTTATTGAGATCAATGTACGAACAGATCCAAATGCACTTGTGGACCTTACAGAGGATAGAGAGGTTGATGTGGAATTTTTGTATACTGTAAAGTGGAAGGAGACTACTACTCCTTTTGAGAAGCGTATGGACAAGTACTCTCAATCTTCTTCACTGCCCCATCATTTGGAGATCCATTGGTTCTCGATCATAAATTCATGTGTGACAGTACTTCTTCTAACTGGGTTTCTGGCAACCATTCTCATGCGAGTCCTTAAGAATGATTTTGTCAAGTAAGAACTGTTCATCCATTTTTATTTTTGTTGTGACTGTTGGGGAATCTTTATTCACTTTACTGACCAATTGTTTGTCTTTCTGAAAGATATGCCCATGATGAAGAATCTGCTGAGGACCAGGAAGAGACTGGTTGGAAGTACATCCATGGAGATGTGTTTAGGTTTCCTAAGTTCAAGTCTCTATTTGCAGCTGCTCTTGGCTCTGGTACCCAGCTGTTTACACTGTAAGTATCTTTTAGCTCCTTTCAATGCAACGTCTCAACCACAGAGGCAAACCTCTGTGAAGTTATTCTGTCATATTGTCCTCATGATTTTGTGAAAATAAATTGCATATATGCATGATTTGCAGCACCATATTCATATTCATTCTGGCACTTGTTGGTGTATTTTATCCATACAATCGAGGAGCTCTGTTTACTGCACTTGTTGTCATATATGCACTCACTTCTGGGATTGCTGGCTACACTGCAACCTCCTTCTACTGTCAGCTAGAAGGAACAAATTGGGTGCGTGCTTAAGAATTTTCTTCGCAATTTGGTCCTGAACTGATTAAACTTGAATTTGATTTTTGTTGATCTTGTATTCTTATATAATTGCCCTCTTGTCATGGCAGGTTAGAAATCTACTTTTAACTGGATGCCTTTTCTGTGGACCTCTGTTCCTTACATTTTGCTTTCTGAATACAGTAGCAATTGCTTACAATGCTACTGCTGCTCTTCCATTTGGCACAATTGTGGTGATAGTTCTCATATGGACCCTGGTAACATCACCTCTACTTGTGTTGGGTGGGATTGCTGGAAAGAATAGCAAGTCAGAGTTCCAAGCTCCTTGCCGAACCACTAAATATCCCAGGGAGATTCCACCGTTGCCATGGTATCGTGGAACAATTCCCCAGATGGCAATGGCAGGATTTTTGCCTTTCAGTGCTATATACATCGAACTTTACTATATATTTGCAAGCGTCTGGGGTCACCGGATTTACACCATATATAGCATCCTGTTCATTGTCTTCATCATACTGTTGATTGTTACTGCTTTCATTACCGTGGCACTGACATATTTCCAGCTTGCTGCTGAGGACCATGAATGGTGGTGGAGGTATGAATATACTACTACGTGCCACGATTTTCCTTATTGATTTGCTTTTATGCATGCTATCTGATTTGGCAGCTAATTGACTCATGGTTATTTGTTTGTTAGTAATTTTGGCAAGCTATGCTTCGGCACTTGATTTCCTGATGGGTCTATAAAATTGCTTGTTGCGTAAACGTTGATCTTCTTCTAGGCTAATTCATTTTGTCATTAACACAAAGTGATGATCTTCTATGTCTTGTGTCCCACTGTTTCTATTTGTGTTTTGTGTTCAAGGTGGGCAGATAGTGGTGTTTAGAAATTTATTATATACTCCTGCCCTTGACCCATGCTTATGGTTTCCTTACAGGTCATTCCTGTGCGGTGGATCAACAGGCCTGTTCATCTATGCCTACTGTTTGTATTACTACTATGCTCGCTCTGATATGTCTGGATTCATGCAGACTTCATTTTTCTTCGGATACATGGCCTGTATATGCTATGGTTTCTTCTTCTTGATGCTTGGAACAGTTGGTTTCCGTGCTGCCTTGCTCTTTGTTCGTCACATATATCGATCCATTAAGTGCGAGTAGCCAGACGTCTTGTCCTCACAAGAGTCCCTTAGAGCTGTTATCGTCTTCATTTCATAGGTATTGTGCAGAGAATTACATTGATTCTGTGGCTCTTTATGTATAAGGGAAAGCTGACAGTGGGACTCAGCTTCCAGAGAAGCATGTTAGATCCCAAAATAGGTCCTTCTTGGGACTACTTTTGTACTGCCATCTCTTTAACCAAACTTTGCAATACTATTTTCTTTTTTCTTTGTGGACTTCTTCTAGAAAGCGAGAACCTGTTACCTTTACAACTTTTATCTAGAAAATGAGGCACATCAGACTAATGAAAATTTTGTTGCTATCATTTGTGGCATCATTGTTGTCACTTTGGACATTTTTCTGGGATTCCTTGTTCTTAGTTGTCACTTGTCACCACCGCTGGGTGATTTTGAGCTTAGTTTGAATCAGGTTTGTTAGTTCGTGCACCGATTTTCAAGTATGGTGTATTTTTACATGTAGACAACTTTTTATTTTGGTATCACGCACACATATATAGTGATATGTTGATTATATAGTGATATATTTTGATTATTTTTCAGAAAAGTAAAACCAACTGTTATTTAAGAAGGGAAGAAAGCCCAGATTGATGGGAAATGTTATGCTAGGCTATTCTATTAATGATGTAACTTCAAGGGTGGGAATGCATATCATTGAGTATTTGAACACGACTACGTGCCGCCATTCTCGGATATTGCCTGCCTTACAAATTCCACAGATCAATAGATCTGCCAAGGGCCAAACAAATATGTGGATGACACGAGATCTGTGTCTGAGCATCCAAAAAGAAAAGAAAAGAATTGATCATTAAGTGAATGAAAAAGAAACCATGAAAAAGCATGTTCGGCTTTATCGCTGCTGTCTTCCCACTCCGTGAATGAACTTAAAACATGCAAAAGCTCAATAATGAAAGGCCCTGGCTTCCCTGTGAAATCAAGGCCTCAACCATGAGATGGGCCACCTCTTGTTCACACAAACCCTGGCTCTATATCTGGTTTTACGAGAACGGAAAGCAATGTACCAGGGAAAAAAAGAGACCGGGAACTATCCAAGTAATAGATGGGGAATGGGATCTTGTCCATTCATATATTTATTTATATGGAGAGAGTAGTACAAGAGAATATAGCTATAAATTATCCACATCTTATTTACTGTTCTCTCTTTAGTCTCTCCTCATGCACTCTTTGCTTATCTATATTCACACTAATACGAGTACTAAGCTGCATATGAACAAGGTTTGATTCAGATATCACCGTCCCAGAGTTCGTCCAAGGACTTGTAAGGCCCATTTTCAGACAGGAACATTGTTCCCTCGTACATCCTGCGTTGTGGAATCTGGCTGATTTTGTCTGATTCCTCCTTGCTTAGCTCCCAGTCAAATATCTCTAGGTTTTGTTTCATCCTCTCCTTGTTAAAGCTTTTCACAATAGCGCTCGCCCCTTGCTCGTATATCCATCTTAGTGCTATCTGCATACAGAGTCAGAAAGAATAAAAGAATTATGATTTAGGATGCCCTGATTCTGTTAATCAGTTTTCGTTTTAGTTCTAGAGAAGCATCCTCACTGTTCCTTTCTGTCATCTCAACACAACACATGGTATTAGAACAAAAAGTATTCAATTTCACTTTGCTAGGCTACTTTCTGACAAGTTTTGTGGCCTTGGAACCTGTGATTTTCCCATAACCGATTTAAAATTCAAATCTCTCGAAATAGCTTCACGCAGCAATTTGAAGAACAATATCATGGGGACATGCACAAGGAAATAGAGGTTATATCTCAGTGACTATTTTTGATGAAAGTCCTATTTCAGTCCTTGAAAACATTTTAGACCAAAATACCAAAATAAGATTTTGGTATGGAACTTGATGGCAATGAGAAAGCTGCATTTGGAAATATTTAGTTTGACATGTGATGAGCTGCGGTACTGAACCTGAGCTACACTCTTGTTTCTAGCCTCAGCAATTTCCTTAAGCACAGGATTCTCCATCACAGCATTGGAACCCCAACGTAATCCGTATGCTCCTAGTGGGGACCATGCACTCACATGGATCCCTTTCTGCCTGCAAAATTCTCTGAGTTTTCCCTGATGCCATGATGTGTTCATTTCCACCTAAAATCACAACTCAGCATTCTTCATTACCAAGTCAAAATGAATGAGCCATTACCGTAGCATTTGTTTATGCATATACTACAAAAGTCTTGAATGACAACTTATTAAGTAGTGTTGAATTGAAAAAACAGAGGAAATCAGCTGTGTTTTTATTGGAAAATTTATAACAAAAGGGCAAAACAAAAAATGAATCTACACATGCACATAGGCACCTGATTAACTGCAGGAGGGATTGCAGCATTATCTAAGAGCTGGGTGAGCTTTTTGGTGCCAAAGTTGCTGACCCCAATAGACTTGGCTAAGCCCAATCTGTGGCATTCTTCCATGGCCTTCCATATTCCTTCTGTGTCAAAGGGAAGAACGTCCTCCCCAGTGACATTGAAAACTTCAACCCCTGGTCTCAACCTCACTGGCCAGTGAATCAGATACAGATCCACGTACTCCAGTCCCAGATTTCTGCACAATCCCAACCCAGAAAGCCAAGCAAGAGTTAAAAAAATGGTAAGTTGTACTACGAATAAAATAGAGACAATAAAATATCAACAAGTCAATATCAAATAAAATATAATATTTATAGTAAGTTGTAGTGTCAATAAGCAATAAATAATGCAGGTCTCCTCATACTTGGCAAAGATAGTGTGTATAGTTCTTTGTTTTTCGGTCTGACGTGTCTAGATGAATATGGTTTGATCTTTTAAATAAACTTGTACTGGCTAGACCAAAACCGAAAAAGCTCATTCTCATGAAACCCTTAATTAAATTTGAACCATCTCAGTTCATGTCTCAAACCGAACATTATTCTTCACGTTTTCAGCAAATCACTCCTTCTCAAGTCTTTCTACTTCTCTTTCACCTGACCTAACAAGGAAATACTTCTTTTCTCCCGTAGAGCAGTACCAGTGCATGTGCTTGAGTATATACAAGATACAGTATTTTCGTGAGAAAATATGCTGAGAACAGAGGAAGATTGAAGTAGACAAACCGGAGCGTGGTATGGAGAGCTGGGAGAACAAGATCGGGATGGGCATCGGTGTTCCAGAGCTTGGAAGTAATGAACAGTTCATCACGACTCTTGACGAGACCTTGCTCTAAAGCTTTGGCCACGGCTTGTCCTAGAGGCTGTTCAGTGCCATAGATAGCAGCAGTGTCGAAATGCCGGTAGCCAATGCGAATGGCGTCGAGAAAGACGGCGGTGAGCTCATCGGCCGGCGGAAGAGGAGCAGTCGCGGTTCCCATCCCTATCACCGGCATCTTGTGCCCAGAATTTAGCACAACATCTGGCACCTGCTTTGCTTCCTCCATAGCGTGAAACCACCCCAATTTGATCCAGAAATTGCGAGAAGGCAAGTTGAATTGTAGTGCTTTTATGGTTAGTGGGGGATGGAGTTTCTGGCGGTCAGGTTACGTTCCCAGATTTGTTTCATCTCACGCTCTGGAAAAAGACAGAATTACGGATTCGCAACACCACCCAGTCAGACCAGGTGGGCTCATCATATCCATGCGAATCAACCAATAAAGTGAGTTATTTAGCCATCAGATTTGATTAATCGGTTTTTATAATAGAGCACACTTTTAACTTGGTCCATTCACTAAAAGTCTAGACTTCACAAATCAACGTGCCATCTTTTCATCATATTTACGGAGGAAAAGGAACAAGAAAACTACGTGTAAGCGCCTGTTTGCTTCAGCGTTTCAATGGGAGAAAAATAATTTATTGAGACAAAACGTGTGCAGTCTGAATGAAATTCGGTGTGTTTGTAACGGCACTGGAGCAATTCAACTTTTGGATAAAAAACTACCACAAGTCATAAGTAAAAATTTCAAGCTTATGAATTTTGGAAAAGTGGAGAGAGAAGATAAAAAAAAAAAAAAGTTGGACCCCATACCTTTAAAAGAATTTATTTTAAATCACATTATACTATCTTATATTCAAACTTAGACTTGTATGCTATCTAGTATAAAATATGAGCATCAAAATTTTCATATTAGTATAATATATATACACTAATTATTAATATAAGAGCTAAATAGCTAATTTGTGAATATTTAAAAAATTAATTAAATTAATTATATGTAATAAACAGTTGTTATCTTCTGTAAAACACTCTCATAAATCATGTCTATTGAAAGCTACCTCTTAACGAAAACTCATTAACATGTGTGATAACTATAACCTAAGAATTACCTAGGGACAAAATGGATAAATATTGGAGATAAAATAGATTAGGATCTTATATTTATGATCAAATTGAGCCTCTAACTAGTTCTTATATTAAGAACCAGAGATAATATTATTTAATAAAATTCATACCCTTTTTAGTTATTTTACCATTTCATTATTTTTCATTTTATATTTACATAAATCATGCATAGTATATCATCCAATTAATTATATAATATTATTTGGTTCAAAAGTTTTCACATTATTATGATTTCTAATTTAAATGTATTTTATTCATTAAATATAACTTCTTCCTATTATAATAATTGAAAATTATTATATTTTGTAAATGCATATTTTTAATCATTTTTTATTATTTAATAAAAATCATAACCGCTTTGGTCATTTTATAAACTAAACTTATTTATTCAATTATAATACAAACAACTTTTCTACTTTACAAACTGACTTTTATAAAAGTTAATCCAAACATAAATTATATTACCTAATCTAACTTTTACCCAATCTTACTTTTTTAAAAGTTAAATTGAAAATAAGTTACTTTTTCTCCCGCCAATCCAAACGAATGCTAAGTCGGTTGAGGCAAGGGTAACGGTGAATTGGTAGGATAGAGGTCAACTCAAATCAAATCAGTTATATTAAAATAATATAATTTAATTAAAAATAATAAAATACAAGAAAATATAATAATAGTTTGATTATTTGTAACAATAATAAAATATAACAATATTAAGAATTTTGATTTTTATAATTTATTAATAACCAAAATTAATAATCATTGATACCAAAATCATCATTAAAATTTAGTGACTGAGATATTAATAGTTAAATGATAAAAATAAGATTATAGCAACTTATTCATCCCACATCAGTGATGAACCGGTTCACACTGATTTTTATAGGTTTTTACCAGTTTACTGGTTTGATACTAGTTCAACAACCAAACTAAACTAGATTACTAACTAGTTCACAAGTTTTTTGGTTCAACAGTGTTTGGTCCCTTTTTTCCCCTTGATAAAGAATTAAACTTGCAATCTCATACTTAAAAAAAAATTAAAGAACTTAATGTGATTAGCTCACAAATCCAACAAAAAATAATGCAATTTGTTATAGTTGTTATAAAACAGATAGAAAGTTAAACAAAAACCACAGAGATAAAAGGAATTTTAGAAAGAAGCCATGAGGGAGGCGTCTTTGTTGAGGATTATAATCTAACCGATACCAAACATTTTTATAACTTTCTCAGACATGCCATTATAAATTTGAATCATAAACTTGTTTGGAATGTTTTATAACTAATTTTTTTAATTACAATTTATAAAATAATAGTATGAGATAAATATATAAAGAGAGTTTTATTTCAATTTACATGTTTATAATGCTTACAAATTATAGTTCCAAATAAGTAAAGAGTATAGTAAGTATGTCTGTATGTGAGTTTCTCTAGCAATGGTGTATCTCGACTCCTCAATCGCCCCTTTGGGGGGGGGGGGTTTTTGTTGTTGTTTTGTTTTTCTCACGTCCTTTAAGTTGCTAGTGAGCACTTTTGATTCTCTCTCGTCTTACCATCCATATGAGCACACTTTTTTTAAAATAAAAACTGTACTTACATATATTATATATATATAATAAACGAAAGTTAAATTAAAAATAACTTATAAATTAAACTCGTTAAATCATCTGGCACTATAACAAAAGAACTCATCCTCCCCTCTCAAGAGTACGAATAAAAACTGGACTCGCCATTTTGTTTTTTGTCAAGGGACTCACCGTTTTTTTTTTTTTGGCCAGGGGAATCACCAATTCTAGTACACACACTTTTTCTTAAAAAATTATCAACAAGATATGAGTACATTGGACATAGAAATTTTCATGTGTTATTAAAAAGTTTTATATTCTCTCCATTTCTATGTATGACTTATATTCTGAATATGTGGACCTCGTTACCACAATCCTCCTGTGAAAATGGGAGTCGGCAAAAGTGAAAGCTTACGTGACCATTTACCTGTTGAATAGTTTTTTTTTTTTTTTGGGTTTTTTGGAAATCATGGTTTATTAGTGAGATTGACTGCATTTATTTAGCACATGCTTCTGTTCAGTTCAAGTTGAAAACTCATTCAAAGTGAAGGAAGCAAAGAGAAATTTTAATTTATACATTTTCTTTGATTCAAATTAAACTTACATAAATAGTTTTCTTTCCTTTCAATTCTTTTCTTGATCCAACATTTTTTATGAGAGCATATTAGATTTAAACCTACCCATCACAGAAAATGTCTGAATTAAAATTTCACCTCCCTTTCTCTCCGTTATACTCAATTTAGTCATATACATGAAAGCTGGTGTTTATGAGAAATTTATTATATACTCACTGCCCTTGACCTATGCTTATGGTTTCCTTACAGGTCATTCCTGTGCTGTGGATCAACAGGCCTGTTCATCTATGCCTACTGTTTGTATTACTACTATGCTCGCTCTGATATGTCTGGATTCATGCAGGCTTCATTTTTTTTCTTCGGATACATGGCCTGTATATGCTATGATGCTTGGAACAGTTGGTTTCCGTGCTGCTTTGCTCTTTGTTCGTCACATATATCGATCCAGTAAGTGCGAGTAGCCAGGCATCTTGTCCTCACAAGAGTCCCTTAGAGCTGTTATCGTCTTCATTTCATGGGGTATTGTGCAGAGAATTACATTGATTCTGTGGCTCTTTATGTATAAGGGAAAGCTGACAGTGGGACTCAGCTTCCAGAGAAGCATGTTAGATCCCAAAATAGGTCCTTCTTGGGACTACTTTTGTACTGCCATATCTTTAACCAAACTTTGCAATACTATTTTCTTTTTTCTTTGGACTTCCTCTACAAAGCGAGAACCTGTTACGTTTACAACTTTCATCTAGAAAATATAAGGCACATCAGACTCCAATAAAAATTTTGTTGGAATCATTTGTCGCGTCATTGTCACTTGGGGCATTTTTCTGGTGTTCTTTGTTCTTTGATGTCACTTGTCACCACCGTTGGGTGATTTTGAGCATAGTTTGAATCAGGTGGTTAGTTCGCGCACTGATTTTCAAGTATGGTATATTATTACATGTACACAACCATTTTTTCTGGGAGTATCATACAGTGTGTGAAGGAAGAGTTGTGGTATTCTCTGTGAATAGCCTATATGCAATATGCTTGATCACGCACACATATATTTAAGAAGGGAACAAAGCCCAAATTGATTGGAAATATTATGTTAGGCTGTTCTATTAATGATGTAACTTGAAGGGTGGGACTGCATGTTATTGAGTATTCGAACACAACAACCTGCCGCCATTCTCGGATGTTGCCTACCTTTACAAATTTCACAGATCAATAGATCTGCCAAGGGCCAAACAAATAGGTAAATGACACGAGATCTGTGTCTGAGTATCCAAAAAGAAAAGAAAAGAATTGATCATTAATTAAATGGAAAAGAAACCATGAAAAAGCATGATGGGCTTCATAGCTGCCTCCCCACTTCGTCATCATTTTGGGTCATTTTTTGGGTAATTTTTGGGTTATAGTAAAACTTAAAAGAGGCAAAAGCTCAGTAATGAAGAGGCCTCGACCATGAGATGGGCCACCTCTTCTTCACACAGATGGGAAATGGGATCTTGTTCATTCATATGTTTATTTACATGGAGAGAGTAGTACAAGAGAATGTAGCTATAAATGATCCACATCTTATACTCATTTACTGTTCTCTCTTTAGTCTCTCCTCATGCATTCTTTGCTTATCTATATTCTCACTTTCTGAATGTAAAAGATCTACGCTGATACAAGTACGCATATGAATAAGGTTTGATTCAGATATCACCGTCCCAGAGTTCTTCCAAGGACTTGTAAGGTCCATTTTCAGACAGGAACATTGTTCCCTCGTACATCCTGCGTTGTGGAATCTGGCTGATTTTGTCTGATTCCTCATTGCTTAGCTCCCAATCAAATATCTCTTGGTTTTGTTTCATCCTCTCCTTGTTAAAGCTTTTCACGATAACGCTAGCCCCTTGCTCGTATATCCATCTTAGTGCTATCTGCAAACAGAGTCAGAAAGAATAAAAAAATTATGATTTACGGATGCTCTGATTCTGTTAATCAGCTTTCATTTAAGTTCTAGAGAAGGATCCTCACTTCTCCTTTCTGTCATCTCAACAGAACACATGGTATTAGAACAAAACGTATTCAATTTCACTTTGCTAGGCTACTTTCTGACAAGTTTCGCGGCCTTGGAACCTGGGATTTTCCTATAACCGATTTAAAAT